TAGAATAAATTACAAAACAAGTAATTTACCTCGTTTTTCAGTTACTTGTGGTTGTGCTTCAGATAATTCTGAATAAGGAACTGATCGAGAACTTGATCGACCACTATTTGCACCAACACGCATTGCAGCAAAATCAGATGTCATGCTTTGTATACCACTACCACGAGGTGCTCCTAAATTCCATCATAACAAATCAATTATTTAGAATAAGAATTTAATACTATACCTGACATTACTTTCGGTGGATTTCCACGACGTGGTTTTTCTGCTCGAGATTGCTATTTTTTTATTAATAATATACAAAATAGATAAATATTTTTCGAATCGTTTTTTTTCTCAAACCTCATCAGATGGAGTTTCTTCATGACTACGTAATCGTATATCACTAGTTTCGCTTTGTTGTGAGACATATGATGATGTTTCAGAGTCAACATAATCTTGTAAACCTCCAGGAGCATCTGGTTCTTTTGTTTGTGAAATTCGACCTCGACTACGTCCTAATGTAGAATTTTATATAATTATAAAAAAAAATAAATAAAATTATCGTTTACCTCGTGCTTTGCCAACAGAGGACATTGTGATTGTTAATAAAAAAGAGGTAGAGTAAAAATCAACGTCGACAATATGTAGAATAGTTTAATCTAAAAAATATAGAATATTCTTTTCAATTGACTATGATCAATATCTTTCGAGAAATCAGACTTTTTAAACACTAGAAAATACTTGTGTGTCACATTTGATACATATATACTTAATTAAAAACGTGCTTTAAATCGTCTCGATTATCTGAGAAGAAAAAATAAATTTTTCTTAATATATATACATGTTCTTCTTTCTTAGAGCAAATTATATTAATTATTGTGTCCTCTATGACTATCGTGTTTCATACTGAAAATATACAAACTAATGAAAATATCAGTTCAAAACCGAATATGTTTTATTTTGTATTATGAACATACAAGTTTAGGAGGCTCAAAAAACTGAATAATCTTTCAAAATTGAAAATTCCACTTTCTATAAAAAAAACTATTCTTATAATCTTTATATCTAGTTGTAAATACGGTGGTCGATCTAAGTTACAATAAAAAATAATTGAACATGCCCTGTGTTCAATATGATCTATAAACCTCTAGTAGACTATAAATAAACAAGACTATATATATATACTTAAATTGGTAGGATCGACTACAAGGTTAAGTAATGCATTTAATATAGATAAATATTATACCGTATAAAATAGTGTACGCATTGACTAGAGAAAGAAGAAAAGAAATTACAGAAAACATGTGAGTATGTTTGGTTAAAGATTGATAAGTAAAATAATGTGTGAATCGTTCACACAAATATGTACACATATAAGAAGCTATTCGTATCGCACGAATGACCTCGTCTGTATCAACTATTGTATTCGAATAGGGAAGCAGAAAGGAAAAGGATTTATTTTATAATCATTACATTTCATTCAAATACGTTTTTTTGCTCTCTGTTGTTTTCATTAATCTACTCGAAAGCAAAGAAAAAAAAAATCTAAAAGGTTTATATTAGTTTTGATGTACAGATATCAATGAAAGGAGATTATATAAGAATAATATTCATATAATTCATAAAAAAATTTAAAATTTATCAATAGGTATATCCTTTAAAACACATCAGTTTAGAATATTTACTTGTGAATTAATTAAATGATAATAATAATTCAAAAATTTTGATAAAAAACTAATACATATACATAGGTTTAATACATATACGATGATAATGGTATCTAATGGCTGTTATTTAGTAACCAATAAGAAACGTTTTTGTTCGACACGCCAATACAAATCAACATACATACCTCTGTAGAGAATACAACGACTAGGTCAAGGCTGAAGAACGAACGAAAGACGAATCTTTTGAATTTACGAATTTTTTTGTTAAATACAAAATCATATAAATCATGTCAAATTATATTATGAATGTATACATTAAATAATACAATATAACGACATAAAAAAGACTGCTTTTAAAAATATTAGTAAAGTTTGCCAATAAGAAATTTATTCCATTTAGTTATTCATCGTTTTAATATTGAACGAAATTTGTTTAACATAAAACGAAATGACTGAGAATGAAGAGAGTAATATTTTTTTTTGTGAATTTTGAACATATGGAGAACTTGATTAGATCATACTAAATTTATTCGTAAGTGATAGATTTAAAAGATATGTACCATTTATATGTACTGATTATAAGATCATTATTGACATTTGTAAGACTGCCGAATTGCGTTTGTTGAACATGTTGGTATTAAAATAAACTCAATTGATTTTATACTCAGAATTGATGGTATATTTTTTGAAGGTATAAACTGATTATTAGTTAATTTTAAATTAGCACATATATAAATATACATTCTTATGTTAACAATCTTTAATTTATTAAAACTATTGTTTTTATGAGAGAAATTTTTTCTATTAGTTGTATAAAATTTAAGAGATGATGATAAAGAACGATATCAATTGATGGTAATATAGTCATATCTTCCTCAATGTATAAAGATGTTTGACTTTAATAAAACTATAATCAGTATATTTATTACCACACATAAACAGAACTCTCCATGTTTCTATAATTATAGCTCTTATCAATATACATAGTATTCGTAACTTAACTACTCAAGCTTTTGTAAATATACAACTCATAGAATTCCTTTGAATAAATAGATCGATCGAATCCAGAAATCGAAATTTCTTTTTTCTCGACATACAAGCACCCGATATCGTCAAAACAAATTTTGAACTAATTAAATTAATACAAAAAATAAACCGATCTCGATCGACTCAGTGTTAATCCTAATGAAATATAAAATATAGATGATAAAATCAACATCTGTAATCGATTTTTTGTTTTCAAGTTACTTTTCTTTTTCATAAATAAAATGTACATTGTATTTAAGCGACGAAAAGAAAAAAAAACAAAACGGATATACAAAAACAAACAAAACAAAAAGATATTCATAGAAGATTTATTCACTGTCTTATAAATAGCATACGGAACAATAAATTCATTTGTTTGTTTTTCTTTTTCTTCTTCTTCTTTCAAAAATGAAGGGATAGAAAGACATGAACATAAGTTTATTAGAGAGGAATGCATGTATAGATTTGCACCGAGTTTTATGTCAATAAAGAATCTAAAGTAAAAAAAAATCGAACTAATTTTGTCATGATACTTCAGCATTGAAACGTCGATGAATTGAAACTGGAGTTTTTGGTACAGCAAAATGCATTGATAAACCAAGTAAATCATCATGTGGTGTTCGTATTAAACATGGTTCTGATTGTGAACGTTGTATACGTGGTAATACACAATCAAATTTTGATAATGTATCATCAATCTAATCAGGAAGAGAAAACGAATATATAAAAATGAAAATTTGAAATTAAATTTCTAACTGAAGGTGCAAAATTTGGTCGTTTTTCATGATCATATTCAGTACATTGTCGTATAAGATTAGTTATAGCACTTGGTGTATCATCACGACATTGTTCAACTTTTAATTTTAATCTACCTTTTCCAACAAGCCACATTATCTATTTAGAAAAAGAGAAATAAAAATATTATTAAAATTAACTCTAGTAATTCACCTGTTCTTTATTGCTAAGTGGTGTATGTGGTAATTTTCCACTAAACATTTCAAATAAAACACATCCATATGCATATATATCAGCACTAGTAGAATAACAATTTGGATCTTTTTGTTGAATAACTTCTGGTGCCTTTAATGAAAAAAAAACAACAATAAACGAAAATTTCTTTCGAATAAATATATTTACCATCCAAAGAACTGAACCAGTTGGTTGAAATTGTTGATTGACACCTTCAGCAAGTACAGTTTTCATTGCTGCTAAACCGAAATCACCAATTTTAACACGCCAAGAAGCTCCAGAATTTTCGGTTTCAGCACTCATATCCAAAAACACATTACTTGATTTAAGATCACGATGAATTATACCCCGATCATGTAAATATCTTTTCAAATAATAAAAATAAAAACAATTTTTTTTCTTCTAACTATTAAACTTACGACATTCCTTGGCATAATTGTCTTGCTATATCAATTAATTGATTAATTTTCCAAAGTCGATCAAGAATATGTATATGTTTATAAAGTGTTGAACCCTAAATTTAATCAAATAATTATTTAAATCAATTTTGAAAACATATATATTAGATTCATACCTCACACCATTGTGTTACGATAGCAAAACGAGGTGAAAGAATATAACCTAAGAAATTTAATGTATTCTGATGAGTAATTTTTCTAAAGAAAAAAAATATACGAATTTTAATAAAGAAAATTTTTTGTACATTTGATAAAACAAACTTTAATGCAATCACTTCATTTCGAAATGCTTGAAATTGACTAGGCGTTGGTGAAACAAAATTTAATTCTTTAAGTGCAACTGAACCTGGAAAAGAAAAAAAAAGATTTTTATAATTATAAATAAATTTTCACTTATTATTTACTTACCATGTAATCGTACTTCAGCTTTATATACAGTTCCATATGTACCTCGACCAACCATACGTCCACGACTAAGTAAATCTTCTGGTCGAATTTCCCATTCACTAAGTTTCTGTTTTTTTTTTAAAATGTAAGATTAAAGTTTTTTCGTTCTACAATATAGAATTTTACACTTACATATGCTGATTTCTTAACATCAATAGTTCCTTCACTGGATGGTTTTGTCATACTAGGTCGAAGAGTTTCAAGATTAGTTATCATTGATCCATTGACAGCTATTAATAAATAAAATAAAACAGATGTTGAATAAGATATATATGAAAGGTTATGATGACTCGAAAGAAAAATTTGTGGAATAGTGCAAATGAGTATGCAAATTAAAGAATATATATTGATAAATACACGCCCAAAACAATGTGCGTAGCGTGTTATATTGTTATGTGAAGATTATTTAGGAAAATCTTACTCAATGATGAATGAGGCATATGATAAATATGCGATGCTTCTAATGGAAATGATGATTGTTGAAATAGTGAATTTGATGAAACTGATAATGGCATATTCATCGTTGATTGTTTACCATTCGATATTGCTGGTACAAAGGACATACCGTATGAATCCTGACTAATGTCTTTGTGTGAGTCTGTCAAAGAATATTAGAGCAAACTGATTGATTGTTTTTATTATATATAGATTTATATCCAAGAAAAGAGAATGAATAAATTAAAAAAGAAAACGAGATTATAAAATCTGTAATATTCACCATCGATACCCAAAAAATAAATGGATTTTGTTTTTTTATGAAAATATATTAAAGCTAATAATGTGTTTTCTCATCTACCTACGCTACATACGCAGTAACAGCCACAGAGACGATTAAAAATAGAATATAGACAGAGAGGGAAGAAAAAAAGAAGATAACATGCAATAATATAATTTATTCAATAACTTACCAACTCCATGATTCGAATTTGTTTCGGTTCGCTAGAATAAATTAAAAATAGCATTAATATTAACATTAAGAATAAAAAACAAAATGACATACTATTGATGGAATACGAGGTAAACTACGTGATTGTTCTTTACTTTTTGTTTGTGACATTGTTCGTTCCATATCAGATCTATTTGGACCAAGATGTTTGATATGTCTATATAGTAAAATTATAAAAGTATTATTTTTTTTGTTGTTTATTTTCTTTCTAATGTATAAACTATTTACAACACATACTGAAGAATAGGATGAGAACAAACAGGTGCTTTCATATAACAATGATTATGATAATTATTTCCACATGAAACACAATGTTTATGTGTTACACGAATACGATGATGACAGACAACACAACGAACACCAAAAACATTAAAACGAGGTGTTGAGATATTTTCCTAGAGATATTTAATATAGACATACATACATACAATATCGAATATTTAAACAATAATAAAAGCAAATGAAGAAACATTTAGATAGATAACAACGAGCAAGTACCGAAAAAATATATCTCCTGGTTCAAAACGACATAAACGAGATTTACGAATACATCGAGCATGTATACGATGACCGCATACAACACATCGAAGTCCTTGGAATAATAATTTATGACATGCGTCACAATAAGTTAATGTAAAAAATGTTTTTCGCATCTATGAAAATATTTTCTTTGTGTTCTATAAAACTTTTGGAATTTTCTAATTTAATACTTACAAATGAATGATCAAGTTTTGTTTTTTCTTCAAGTTCAATTTCTGTTTCTAATACACGATCAAGTGTTATATCCCATGGACATGGTTGTCTATTAATAATATAGCAAAATATTTCTTATAAAATATTAGATTAAAAATACAAAAAAATTACCTCGATATCATATAAACAGGTGTATATGCTCTTAAATTAGTCACTGAATGTCTTAAGGCACGTGATTCAAGTGCAACTTCAAGTGTTTCATCATTACGTGGTGAAAACTTGAAATAGAAAGATAATTATATAAATAACAGATGCGAAAAAATAAAATCATATGACTCACAGCTGTTGTATGTTTATTTGGAAAATGAACACGAATAAAATTATTTGGTGCTGTACTTGGACTACGTGAACGTTGATTAAAATAATCTGTTTGTTGAGATGAAATCTGTGTTGATATTGGTGGTGTTAATGGATAAAAATGATAATTTGTTTGTGGATCATTTGCTGTAGAATAATCATTTATAAATATATCTTTGGAATTAAATTGATTTGGTGATAGAGATGATTTAGATGGTTGAGGAGATTTTTCAGGTGGAGAATATTGTAATTGATATTGAGATTGACTATTTATGGATGATACATCATTGTTTGATGATGAACATGGAAATACAGATTCAATATTTTGATCTTCAACTTCATGAAGATGTTCGGTTAAAGTATCACGAGCTTTAGTTAATATATCAATACGATCAGTTAAACGTTGAAATTCCTTAAAAAATAAAGAGCAAAAGAAATAAAATGAATCATTGTGTTTTTAATTAGTGTTTATTTATTTATTTACCTGCATATAAAATGGTGGTCGTGTTTCACGAAATGCTAAATTATAATTATTAACATCAGCTGTAAGATGTTTAAGCATTTTCATTAAATCATCTAATATCTGTCGACATTTTTCTGGATTCATATCACGTTTACCTTCGTCAACTTTATCAAATATCATTCGACGAAAACTATCTTCCTGATTATTTATGGGTGAAGCTGAACGTGGTGGGGTTGATGATGTAGATGAACAAGATTTATGATGCAGCGGCTTGTATGCATCCATTGGAACTGTGCTGCTATTGCCGCTTGTCATATGATTTGCTTGTAGAACCATAGCCATACAAAAAGAAACGACGACAATGTGTCGATCAAAATTTACAATGTCTTCTACTTAAGAGAAAAAAAATATAGGCAAGATAACAAAAACAAAAAAGAATTAAATAAAATAATTTACCTTTATATCGAGGTTATTATTCATGATGTCATGTGTGGATATATATTTACATATATATCTATATCTATAAAAAAAAAAAAGAAATAGAAGTAGGAATTAAACGAGGAAATTAGTATAAATAAGATTAACTTATACGTCTAGGTATGTAATGATAGTATTCAAAACGTTAGTTAATATATTTTCTCTCTTGTTCTTTTCTTTTCTTTTCTTTTCTTTTTTTCATACCTTTTCTTTATTCTCTTTATGCAGTTCTATTTTCGAATGATAGAATGTATGCGTGCGAAAGAAAATAAAAGCAAAGAAAAGACCTAGAATATATATGCAGATGTTTAAAACAAATTCCGTGCATATCTTTCAAGTGTTAAGAGAGAAAAAGAAAAAAAGAAAGAGAAAATAGTCATTCTGATGATGATCGATGAAGCGAACTTCCAACGAAGTACTGTCGCCGTTATTTCCTTCCTCTTTCTTCCTCAAATATCCGAAAAGGTGTGTTAGTTAGTCATAGTCACTAATACTACGACAACTTTTTTACTTCAATTCTATATAGTGCGAACATACTTCCTTTTTTTTTCTCTTCAAAGATATGAGAATATAGACTCCAATATTGACGACTTAATATAACTCAAAACATTTATCGAAGAAAAATCATACGCACATAGAATCTCACTAGTATTATATGGAAAAAAAATATTAACACTCACTAAAATGAATACAATCTATTCGTTTATATATTTTGAATAACGAACGTACTTTTATTTTGTATATTTATTCAACCTTGTTGTTTTTCTTTCTTTTTCAAGATATAATTTCAATTAAATGAATAACATATGAACTAAGATAAATATAAATACACACATACGAATGATCTGTTATATTCTTGCAATTGCATCTTCTAATAAATACTCCAATACAATGTCTTTTTCATCGACTGTCGCACAACCGTTTCTTTTCTCCCGTTTTTCAGAAACAATTAGTAGTAACTTAGTATGTTTCGTTCTTCGCAACATGCACGACAACGACAATTTCTCTGTGTCTTTTTTCTTTTTTTTTTTATGTTGCTTCACGCTCTGTCATTTCTCTTCCTCGCTTTTTTTCTTCTTCTTCTTCTTCTTCTTCTTCTTGTTCTTAATTGCATAACTCCCTCGCCATCCGGATGACGACAACTACATGTAGTAAGACCTTGAACAGCTCGAGGGGCGAGCAACAGCAACCATCCAGGGTTCTGTATTGATGCTGTTGCATACAAAACAACATACAGAACAGAACAGAACAGAACAAAAAAGAAAACATGTAGTACGTGGACACTGTTGTTGTTATTTTGCTACTTGATCAAGCTAATGATGCGCGTATGAGATAGAGAATCCTATGGAGTATATACCTGGAGAAAAGAATAGTTAAGTTGTATGACATATAGAACGAAAAAAAAATCAAGGGAAACAAGAATGTTGTTTTAGTAATAAACAAAACAATACTGTCTCATTTTTAATATTAATGTTGTGTTAACATTTTTTTTCTACTCTTTTTTTTACGTTGTTTCCGCTATATGAAAGTCATATAGAAAGATGAGTAGAAACAATAATATGAATATAAAACAAAAAGAAAATGATCATGACTTCGAGAAAGGAAATAATAGCTCGTGATATAAGAGATAAAACAGAATTTATTTGCAAAACTAAAACTCACATAGACTTAAATATAAATAATAAAAAACAGACATATTTGATAATTGCACTACTATATATTAAAAATGATTATGGGTTAGGTCAAATCACAGCTGAGAGAAAGAACGATGAAGGAACAAAGGAAAATTTTCAGTCAATGGAATAGACAATCTAACCATCCATTTGTTTAAGTAAAAAAACCAATCTTGGAAAAGAATAGATTAGATGACGCTATAAGTTAGCTATAAGTAGTTTTCTTTTGTTTTTGTCTTAATTCCATTTGGAATCTATTAGCTATGAATAATACTGTAACTATTTATTTTCTATTGAATTGAATACTAAATGTGAATACACTTCCATAGAAAAAAAATGCATTTAATCAGTTCTCATGTACAACGAATTTGCAGACGATGATTGTTGCCACTAGATACGTCTCTAATATTATTTTACAATTCATATTGTCTTTGAAAAAGTTTTCGATACTACTATATAGATCGTCAATTGCAATATATAAATTTATTATCCAATTCGGATAAATCGATCAATATTTTCAGGATCTCGAAGTTAGAAGATGGTAATAAAAAAAATATCTTTTAACAAGTTTTTAATTTAACTAAGATAATATCAACATGCCTTAACAAGTAATAATCAACAATCTTCAACAACATTTTTTTTTAAATTGCGTGGGAAAAGCATGTATTTTAAAAGTCGTTCAGTTTTATTAATTAAGATATTTTTAGTTCTATTACAAGTAGCAGCACTTTTATAATTATTACTCGTAGAATTCTATTTCCCAACGTCATCAACATTATTTTTAATGTGACCATTGCTCTTTTTCAATCAACAATATTTTTTACTTTCAATTACTAATGTCAGCACTTTCTAATAGCAGAAGTGAACTTTTCTTCTCGATGCACATCATGTTCTACGATCATGATATTAAACTAACGAGTGAAAACAATCCGTCTACCAGATGAATTTAACGCCAGTCACGGGCAAAATAAAGACCGTTGCGTGCTAACTGAATCCAGTTGGAAACAGATCAAAAGCACTAAAAGAATGATATTATCTAAATATATATATGTAGAGATCATCTTGCTCTGAACGCTTCATACAACAAAATCAATATTATCTACTGTGAGCTGAAGAAATACTCGAAAAAACGCTCGTTTTATGAAAATACAGTAAATATGACATAGCACTCAGTACCCTGACATGAGTCTACTTTTCAAAAGTGATGGAAATGACTGAAACATGTCAAAAGAAGAAACGACAATTAGTGTTTTACTGTAAAGAAAATATATGATATAAGAGATGCACGTGTGTACAGGGACATTATGATCTTACTGAAGATACTCATGGAATATACATAACGAGTTTATAATTATAGTTAGAACATTAGATAATGTTTCCATAGGAAATTACATAATGTTAAAACAACAAATTTCAAAGTGTACATGTGATTAATAAAGGACTAAACGTAATCTAATCTATTTGATACATTGATAACGAGAGTCGAAAGACCACATTTCCTTCTTCTTAAAGTAATACAATATTTATTTCTAATCAGTTTTTAATAGGTTATATTTTACTCTTACAAGAATTTTATCGTTTTTAAATTTCTTTCTTTATATGTTCGAGTTTTACGCTGATCAGTTTTTGTAAAAAGTAGAAATGAAAAAAACTAAACTAATATTCATATGATAATATCCAGCTATTAACTATCAATTGAATATGATTTGTTTTCATGAAAATTCATTATATAAATGTTTAGTTTTTTTGTATAACAAAAAAAAGATCAGTCGATATCTTATTTTGCATGCAATATATACTTTTTTTATTGACGTTTGTTTTTAACGTTATTCGTTTGATAATGGAAGAAAAAAAAAGATAAACAAAAAGGCAAGAAAAAAACTCTATTAATAATGTTGGTCATCTGTAGAAATTTTTCTGTTTTGTTCAAATATACGCGTTTTCATTATATATATATATAAAATCAGTACAGAGTGTGCATATATAATAAAGACAATAAATCGTACTACATGTTATATAATGAGATAGAAAAAAGAAGAGAGAGAGAGGGAGAAAGAAAAAAAGAACAAAAAAAAAGATAAATCCAATCGATGATATATTTTTATATAAGCACACTATGCGATAAATAAAGAAGAATAGAAATGAGCCACAAACCTGAGCAACTTGATTTTTCTGTTTGGCTTTATACATACACACTGACACATACATATACAGAAACTCACTCATTAGGTTTGTTTTTTTCTCCGCGCATGTACAAAAAGAAAAGAAAAGAAATGAAGAAGATAAAGATTGATGTGTATAAAAACACAAAAAGAATATTTTTTTAAAGAATTTCTTCGCTGGAGTCCATAGGTTGTATATCTTGAAGTGAACTTTGGGATTGCATTTGACTATTATCGTCTTCTGTAACGGATGATGCCATATCTTCCATGCCGAGTAGAAGATCTTCATCTTTTGAATAAAATTTATCGGCATTCTCTTTTAATTGATTATTGGCACCTAAAATAATAAATTCATATTTAAATATAAACAAAAACAATCTTCTTTTTTTATAACCTTTCGGATCAAGATCCATACTCCATGACATATACATATATGAATAATGAAAATTTTTCAAATGTCGATGAACCTGAAATATTTGATTGATATATATATTTGATCAAGATAAATTTAAAAAAAATCTTTCTTACTTTACTAAGTAAATAATAGACAAGTGATTCTTTCGGTGCAATTTGTCGTAGTTCTTCAAGTTCACTTAATGCTTCTGGATATCGTTCAAGATGTAACAAAAGACCAGCTCTGAAAAAAAACCGAAAACAATAATTAGAAAATCGTTCAATAATAAATTATTTCGAATAACATACTTATGAAATTTACATAAAGCATTTTTAGAATCAATTTTCAGTGCATCATTAAGTAATGTTAATGCATTATCAGATCGATTACATTTATGTTGAGCCTTAAATAACGATACAAAGAATAAGAATTAAGAGAAAATAAAAAATTCTTATTCATACCACTGCTAAATGACAGATAAGATCAGGATTTGTACGAAATATACTTGTTGCTTTTGTAAAATGAAATTCAGCTGATTGAAATTTTTCTTGTTTTAAATAAACCATTGCAACACCATTCCTAATAAAAGAAAAACGTAAGATTTATATATACGTATATATAGAAATAACTTACCAAGCTTTATAACTTCGTGGATTTAATTGAATAGCTTTACGAAAACATGCCATAGCACGTTCAAGTTCATCAATAAGTGAATATTCATTTCCCAATAAAGTATATGCATAATCAGATTCGGGTGCCAATTGTATAGCACGTTTAAATGCTTGTATAGCTTTATCATATTCATGATTAAGACTAAGACAATTACCTGATGCACACCAACTCTATAGAACAAAGAAAAAAACGAAAAGATGAAATATAAGTAACTAGTAATTATTTTATTCCCTGGGTGGTAGTCAGAAATTTGATCTCTAATAAGTATGTTTTAAATAAACAAAGAACAGCTGATTAGATATGAATTTCGTTTTTTTTTCAAAGTCATGAAATCTGATCTCTTCTCTCCTTCGATTAAAGCGTAGGTTTAAAACAAAAATTATCATTGATTCATTTGTTAAATTTTCTTTTTTGATTTCATAGGGTATAAAACAAAACAAAACAAAAAGAATGGTAACTACTACACCAATTTTACCTACAAGTACTGTAAGTTATGATGAGATATTATCAACATCAGCAGTACCTATATCATCAACAGATACAATCAATGAAATACTTTCAAATGATTATGATTTAACAACTTATTTATTAATTATTTTTCCATTCTATGTTTGTGCAGTTTTATTTAATTTCTTATCAATTTATTCAATACTTATTGCGAAAATTTATCGTCAATATTTATCAAATGTACTATTAGCTGTTATTTGCGTCGGAGCATTATTCAATGTACATGGTCAAATGTTTTTAATTTTATTACGATGGACAAATAATTCAGCATCAAATCAATTATGTTCATCATCAATTTATCTTCGTGATAGTGGATCTATTCTTATTCATACACATATATTACTCTTAACATTCGAACGTATTCTTGCTAATATAAAAAAATCTCCAGCAAATTTAAACAATAATCTTATTCAAAGAGCTCATCTTTTTCTTATAACTATGTCTTTAATAAGTATAATTCTTTCATTAACTGTAACAATTTATACATTTACTCATTCAAATTTTTCATCATTTGCTGGTTTATGTATTCCAACAAATTTAATATCTTATCAAAAATATTTCGATTGGATTTATTTTGGTTTTGGTCATCCATTTGTATGGTTATCTTGTTTATTACTTGGAATATATTTTTCACGAAAAACAACAATATCTTATACAACATTAATTCCAATGAATAGAATTATATTTATAATTAGTATATCGAGTTGTTTTAATCTATTACTAAGAACATTATTTGATGATAGTATTGGTATTGGTGATGAACGACCATTGAATATAGATGTTATACCTTCGAAAAGTGTATTCTATATAATGAATTTACGTGATTTTATTTCTATAATAGATAAATTATTAGTTGGATTATTATTTTTTCTTTTTCGACCAGAAATACGTTTATGGTTAATTGAATCAATGAAGAAATTTCAATCAAATAAAAAAGAGACTCTATCACCACAAATGTTAGACATTCGTAATGAATTAGATGATAATTATAATGAAACAGACGATGGAAATCTTCAGTTTCGAGCAGATACTTAAACGAATAAAATTTAAAAAAAACTTAATTTACTGTATTTCTTTTCTTTTCTTTTCCTTCTTTCTTTTTTTTTTTGTTTAAATAAATACATCATACTTACAGCTGGATGTTTACGATCTGTTTCAGTTAATTCATGTGCTAATGTTGCTAATGCAATATCATCTTTTAAATGCCAAAGAACTGTACTATAATATTCTAATCCATCAATATGATATGGATATTTTGTACGTAGTTCTCGATAAATAAGTGAAGATTTTTGATAATCATGTAAATGATAATAACAATTAGCTAAATGTGATAAAACCCATGGTGTATCGAGATGTTTTAAAGATATTGATTCAAATATTTCAATTGCTTGTCGACATTCAAATTGAGATAAATGCTGAAGACCTTGTCCAAGTAATTTAAATACATTGATTATATTTTCAACAATTTCTATAAAAGCAGAACAAAAATAAATAATAATTACACGAAATTTTATTCAATACAAACCAGGTGTTCGGTGATGATGATTTGATTGACTCTTTCTTTGTCGATCACGTTTATTAATTAATTCATTGTCAATGGCACAATTTAAACTTGTATTATTTGATCGTACTTGAGATCTTGTTGTCATTTTATTTGGGGATTCAGATGGTGCGGTAGGTGGTGTTATACTCATATCTGTACATGGTGGACGTGTTGTTGTTTTTGTTAAACGTGTAGTACGTTTCGTTGGTGCACGAATAGATTTATTTTCCTAGAAAAATAAAAATGAAAAAGATTGTTAATTTTATTTCTACGTTTTTATTTGATCAAAACCATCCGTCGAAGTAAAAAAAAACTTACTTTTCGTGTGCCGATAGTTTTACGTGTATCACTAAGTGATGTTGATGCAAGTTCATGTCTATGTAAAAGTGTCGCTGTTGATCCTGATGCTGTCGTGTCATCAAAACCGTATTGTTGTCTATGAAAAAATAAACAAAAGAAAATTTTTTGGATAAGTTAATATTTCTATCATACACATTTCGTGTGTTTTGTCGTTTAGGTGCTAGTGGTGGGTTACGTAAAGATGGAATATAATCAGGTGGTTTTATAGTTGGCGGAGTATATTTATCATTATCTTGTAATTGATCAGCAATTAAACCAATTGGTGTTGATGTTATTATGGCAGAAATATTTGTTGAACCAACATTAAGAATAGAATCAGTTAATTTCATAACAGTTGCAGGTGCTTGTAATGAACGTTGTTGTTGATGTTGTCGTTCTTTTATTGGTTGATTTGTACTTGTATTCATTGACTAGAAGAAAAATGAAATATTTTTTATTTTTCAAATATTAATTTTCTTAATATTCAACAAACATTGTCAATAGCTTGATTTTCACTTTGAATGTCTTTTATCTGTTCTGTGTAAGGTGTGACACATATATGTGGTTGACTTAATTCTGAGATTGATCGATTGGATTTTATAGCTGATGAACAAAATATACTTGTATCAACACGTTCACCTAAAATTACATATACTTAAGTAATGAAATGAAGATTAAAATACATTAATAATTAAACAAATTGTTTCGAAACTATTCATATGAGAACAACAAGATTCCATATATCAAGTATTTATTATCAAGTTTAGTTTTAGATCTTGTCAAATAGAAAGCATTGGTAAACGAATGAATAGTGTTTTCCTGTTATCTCATTTGATCTAATTTATTTTTCCCCATAATTATAAACATGTTACATATAAGATTGAATTGAAAAGCTCTATTTTTAGTTATTAAACTATAAAGTATTGTTCTTAACGCAACATTTTAAGTAGAACATTCAAGTTGTAAGTCTTTACAAAACAAATGTCGTCCGAAAAAACTTGCCGATCAGAATACATTGTTATTATATATATATATTTAATTACATATGCTTCCCGATGTAAAGAATTATTTCGCAAAAAACACTCTTTCTTTTCCACATCGATTGATGTAGAATATTCAGTATTAAAAATACTTACCAAGACGACATAGGGCTTCAAATGATGACCATAGAAATGGATTTAGTTTCAAAGATTTTCGGTAACATTCACTTGCTTTTTGATGACGATCTGATTTTCTAAATAACAAAGAAAAAAATCAAATATATTTCGTAAATATTTTCATTATAAAAAATAAAAACTTACTCGCAAACTTTAGCAAGTAATTGTAAGGCAAATGCTGCTTGATCACCATGATCATTAACATAATCATCAAGTGCAAGTGTATTTATCGATGAACAGTTACCAACAAGCACTGATTCAGCTTCATGAAGTCTAAAATCGCATAAATGATATATTCATCCATATATATATATTTCTTGTTTTTTTTACGTACTTATCTGTATCAAAGCAACATTTTGCTAAAAGAAGTTTCGCAGCAGGTACATGCTCAATAGAAGAATTACGTAATAGCCAATAAGATTTATTCACATCACCACTTAAATAATAAGTACGTGCCAGTAAATAAGTCGATTCATCATTTTTTACTAAATGAAAAAACAAAAAAACTTAATATTTTTCATAAAAAATAATTTTATTTATTTTTACCTTCAGCATAAAGACGTTCAGCAAGAAAGATAGCATCGACATAGTCGAAATTATGAATAAATTGGTTTACATAAACCTTAATGGAATCGATTGCGACGGACATTAAATTGTTCGAAATAGGAGAGAGAGAAGAAAAAAGAATATATATATATATAATAGGCTTTTTTTTGTAATCAAATAATTAGATAATAATTAACTGAAACATTGATAATAAAGATCAATCTATTTCTAAAATTAAATGAAAAGTCAAAGTATGATGATTTCATCGATATCACAGTCAAAATGAAAGAAGAACTTTTTTCATAAAACAAAAGCAAACAATGAATACAGGAGAAACAAAGCGAACTGTATCAATCACCAATTTTAAAGCATTATAAACAAACAACGAATATTAAAAGTTGAAAGAATGAATTTGTTTTTGACTGAACTCAAAAATAAATACAAAAAAAAATGATCTGCCCATGAGCAAAGAAAAAATGACTAAATATTTCCAAACAAAAATTATCATTTCAATATGGATTTTCACGTTTTTGTGTATTAATTAACTGACGACGTTTACGTTCATTAGATAAACGATCACATGCTTGTTGAATATTCATAAATATTGCTTCAGCTTTTGCTTTGTCTTTAGGATTCTATAAGTAGACATAGAATTTATATAACTATTTAAATATGTTTATAGAAGAAAATATTTACCCGATGTTTATCTGGATGCCATTGACGTGATAATGTTCGACATTGTGTTTCAATAGTTTTTTGAGAAGCATCATAGCTAATATTAAGTGTCTAAAAGAAGAATCATTATTGAGAAAAAGAAAATATCGATATTAGTACAATTTTAATCTGACTTGCTCAAAAGACTATATGCAATGGTGTTATCAAATATCTGTAGCTATGATTGAAGTTGTATTATAACGATAAGATGTTTTCTCTTATCTATGGCACGTTATTGTTTCTATTGTGGCAATACTTGTCAAAAGAAATTTATAATTTTTTCTAAGATATATGAATATGTAGAACTATATATTAGTCTTTTGTCCTTTTATCTACACTTTTCATATTCATATGTCTGCTCATCTGTGCTATATAAGATATAAAGTGAAAGAATATCATATTTTTTATTCTACCTCAAATGCTTGTCTTTCACTTTCAGAATCAAGTGCCATCCATATTTGTGTCCATATTCCTTTAAAACCATGTTTTAAATAAAAACTCCATAATTGTCGTAATACATTTAATAATTGTTGATATAATAAAAGAAATTGTTGTGATTTAAAAAAATCTATTAAAACATCTTTGACTCGAACACGTCGACCTTTGATATCAACTTGCAAATTTTGATATATAGCTGTTGTGAATATTGAAGTAAATATAATTATACCAAATCCAAATATAAGACAACGTTTAATAAAATGACGTCTTTTTCGTTTTGACAATTTTGAACAGTGTAATTCATTAGATTTCATTGCTGATTCATTAAAAAAATATGTTGGATTCCATTCAATTTTCCATTCAAAAATCCAAGAACTTAAAAATGCTGGTATATTAAAAGATGGTGATAAATCCGAACGCCATACGATAAAAGGCATACCAAGTATTGCACCTAATAACGGCCACATAAATGAACATTGACGTGGTCCAATTGTGCCCATCATTTGTGTACCTAAAATAAAATAGTTCAAAATTATTTGATTCATTTCAGTTTTATTGACTTACCAACAGCAATAGCAAATACAGTACAACATCCAATAAATAATGATAAGAGAGATTGTTTATGCCATGTATCAGGAAAAGCATAATATGTTATAAAACCATAAAAAACTGATGTAAGATATTGACCTGAAAGAAATGAAAACAATTATTTTAAATCTTTACAGTATTATATCTGTATCTACCCTCGACCGCATTAAAACAATTAGAAAAGAATATTTTAATGTTTCGCTCATAGATCTTTCAATTTTGACTACATTCAAATATTTAAATCATTCAAAATATACAACTTAAATTTGAATGATTTAATCATAGTCAGCTGATTTTTGTTTACTGTTGTTTTTTTTCATTGAATTTTATTTGCTTACCACATAGTCTATATATTTCGAATGAAGGTGATTTTTTTTGTAACATTTTTATTCTATATTCATTGATTATCAAATGATCATTATTAGTTTCTTGAACATATCTTTTTAATAAAAAGAAAAATTCATAAATAAATCCAATACCAAAACCACCAAATGTTGTGAACCATACTAAAGCATGTTGAGTACGACCCAAATAAAGATGGTGAACACCGAAAAGACCACCAATTAATGAAAATATATATGTTAATATCAAACTTTTATTATCAGCCATTGAATATCACAGTATTAAAAAAAATACAAGTTTATCTAAATATCACAGTTTAGAATAAGAAATTTTCATAAGATCCAAGATGAGAATTATAACTCGACTTTTTTTCTCTCTCGAGACAAGGCAAGAGTATACTTGGACTAAAATAATCGAATGTCGCTAATATCATCGTCTAGTTTTACATAGAAAGTAGCGATAAATTCGATGATATTGTACATTCTTGATTGCCTACGACATCTGACAATGTCTTGAAGTTTTGATGCAATGAAACCCGATTTTCGTAGATGTCATACAATTAGAGGAGTAGTTTAATGTTCAAATAACAGCTGTATAATATAATCCTATTCATATTTAATAGATTTTTTATGATTTCCCCGTATACAGGAAGTCTTAGTTTGTAATTAACAAAGTTGAATGAAACTTATGTAAAACAAAGTAGCATTACTAATATGCAATATAAAAGAAATATATATTACCTAGTTTTACAGTTTCTATGAGTTGGAAATATGAGTTTTTTTTCTATGACGGAAAAAAGAGTAAAATCTTTACTTCCGATATAATATTGAAATTTTTTTCCAGACGAATAATTTCACTTGAAAATATTTATATAATTATATACATATTTGATTAAAAAAGCGAAACATTTATTTTTGTTTACACGAATATTTTCATGAAAATAGGACAGCAAAATATTCTATAATATTTAACGAAATATGTAATTGAGAATACGATAGTTCTTATAAAATTAACAAAAATGTTCAATATTGACTTATAGATTCATAGATAAAGATTTCGATCTTTCTTTTTCTCTCTCTTTTAATGTCCTTCTTCGAAAGATTTTTATTTTCAATCAATGCCATGTACTTTTAACATTTATCATCAAGTGGTATAAATCTTACAAATGATCATATAGTTACCTTTACGTTACGCGTAATGCGAAAAAAAATACCACATTAATGATAAAACATTAGGATAATTATTTTTTTTTATAGTAGCCATCGTCTTACTAATGTTAATAATCAGTTGAGACAGATGGCCGATATGACCATCATTTGATTAAAAATTGATAGAGTCATAAGATTCACTATATAAAAATGTTTGTTTAAATAAGGCCGTCAAGGTTATATTTGATCAGTATAATTACATTTAATTTCGTTTACGATTTCAGTCGAATATATTTTATGAAATTGTTATTTCAATCAACCTGTTAATACATTAATAATCATTTTTTCTATAAATCTCAATGTTATAAATGAGACATGTCACAAATATTTCATTAATTTAACTTAAATAAAATCTTCAATTTTCATTCACTTATATAAACATCATTGATGGTCTTTTTTTTTCTTAAATGTCCAAACTGTGTTAAGTAGCTTTGTTTAAATGCCCATTGTAGCATGTCTACATTTCCATTAACTATATTAATTTTTCTTTATTTTATATATTTCTTATTCTTATAATGTACAGTAAAATAGCAATTAAAATAATTCATTTTCTCTACCAGTATTATATAAGCAGTCACTTGTTATTTATATTCATATGACTTTGAAAATTTAAATAGTTAACTGCTTGAAGAAGAAAAGAAAGAGTCATGTGTATGAGAATTAAAACAATTGCATGATTCTTTGTTAGTCTATTGAGCGTGTAGATATATACGTATATAAATGAAGCCATTTCATTTTAATCGTCTATGATAACTATCAAAAAAATTAACACAGAAAAATTTTTATTAATAAATTTAATCTGTCATTTTTTATAATCGATAATACTTGATAACGTTTTTATTAAAGAAATCTTATAAGTTAAATGAAAGAATAATTGATTCTATTTAGTATTGATAAACACAATTATTCATATTTCAATTGCCAATCGATAACTGTTCTTTTCCTTGGAATATATGATTAATTCTCAAGGGATAATAAAATTTAATTTTGCTGAAATATTTAATTTATTCTACTTTAGTCAACAATTCTTTCATCCTTCACTTAACATGCGCATATGTATATAACGGATTAGAGTCATTAATGGAATTTTACAAGTGATCAGAAAAGATTGACTCTTGCCATTTACTTATATATTGATAAAAAAAGTGTAAATGGGTTTTTCTTTCTTTCTTCTCTTCATCAGGATCATAATCATCACCTATTCATTTCATCAAGCTCTCTCTCTCTCTTCCTATGTATATATATATACATATATATGTATATGTGTGTCATATAGTATTAACATATCACGACGCGCGAACGCACGGGTAAAAGTATCTGTATATATATATACACATATACATGTACACAGTTGAAGGCGTTTGTTCACGTTTAATTGTAGATTATCATCGCGGCACATGTGAGTGAGTAGTAGGTTTTGTGCTTCTTTGTGTCATTGTCATTAAAGAAGAGAAGAGTGAGAGAGAGAGAGAGAGTGAAAGAAGAAAAAGAAAAAAAAAGCTCATTTGTAAAAGGATTACGTGTACATCGCAAGCACATTTTTAAATATAAATCAATGCACGAATGACGACGACTCGACCTGAAGCTCTGCTACACATACGAGTTCAAGGTAAACATAAACACCGGAATACCGCAGGGTCTACTGTATCCTTTTTCATTTTGTCCATGCATTTATGGAAGGCGGCAGGTACTGTAGAAGAAGCCTGAGAAAGAGAGAAGAAAAAAAGTGCACATTACGATCAACATGAAGTATTGTTAAACAAAAAAAAAATTTAAAGAACATTTGAACCTTATTTATCACGAGTACATAGTCGCGTCGTCACCGCCACCGCCACCATTGTCATATGTAACATATACATTCGCGTAACAATTGATTGCATGCGTGTGTGCGCGCTAGAGGATTGTGTGTTCAAAATTAACAAAACGAGAGTAACAAAGTGCCATCGTTAACAGTAGACATAGTTAGTTCGTCTGCCTAAGATTAAATATTCTCCTTGAAAAAACTTTCTTTTCTATCGAAGTTATACTCAGACAAACATTAAGAATATTTAATCGGAATTATAAATATCTTTTATACGATTATGGTCGTTAGTTTCTGTCTCCCCTTCGTCGTCCCTTTCTTTTCTATATCTTCAATTTTGACATTGCAGGACTTCTTGTATATATATATGTATATATATGTGTGTATATGCGCGCAGTGCTTTATTAACACTTGACAATTAAAAATGAATGTCCTGGGCTTCTAACCAGTCAAGTGTTAGGTCGACTTTCAAGATATAAAGAGACATCGTTGTTCAATTTCGAAAAAAAGCATAGGCAGTCTGCTCCACATGTTGTTTTCTTTTTATCAACAATAGCAACATAGAGAGAAGGTTTGAATACAAAATGAAACAAAGATGAAGAAACAAGAGAGAGACAGAAAGAGAAAGAGAAAGAGAGAGAGAGGGAGAAAGAGGAAAAAAGTGATTCTCTTCTTGGTTAAGACGTTATGATCACATATACTTTTGCTATGCTAACATACATATAAAATATAGGCGATTTTAAATACATAACCCATTTATAAGGAACAGAATAAGAAGATGATCCAAAGCTGTAAATTTTCACTGCTGGCCAAATAGAGTCCACTTCAATTTTTGCTATTTCTACACTTACCATATGTACATTCAAGGTACCATTATTCATCACCTGCTGTCGATGTACATATAAAATATAAAACACGTCAAAATTACATAATCGTTTCAATTTGATTTTGCGATTTGAACTCCTCATCTTCTCTCTCTCTCCCATTTTTTTCAACGACATACAAAGCATTTATCCAACCACGTTGAAATGACAACACATGCAACAATGTCGTTTGATAGTCAACCTCGTCATACATTATACAGCAATCGAACTTATGCTCGTACGACGACGACAACAACAACATCATCATCACATTCATCAAATGACAATCGTCCATTTCATTCATATTTAAAAACATTACCAACAATAAACATATGTGAAAATCGTCTATATGATATAACAATAGCTGGTGATCTTGGATCAGCAACATCATCATCCTATATTAATAGTAGTGAACATTATGATAATACATATATTAATACTTATGATAATCCAATACAATATTTTGAAACTGTAAGTTGATTATTAAGAAGATTTTATTCTGTTTCTTTTCAAAAATATAATTTTATTTAGTTTCCATCAAAATCACTTGGTATTGTTAATGGTAGTTTAAATAATCTTCCACATTCCAATGAGAATTTCTATGATCATGCTGGAGAAGATGATAATGGAAATTGTTCACCAAATACTTCACGTAGTACATCACCTGTTCTTTTTTATTTGGAAAATAAAAACTTAGCAATATGCGCATGTATTATTTCATTTCTTTTATTATTACTTATTGGCCTTGGCATTTTTTTATTAAATAAACTTATCCGTCCTGTTATTATTAATACGACAGTAAATAATCATTATGGTATAATGAATATGACAAATACAACAACCATAGCAACGATGATTTCAAATCGTCCGATAATTTCTACGCCAATGATAATGTTATTAAGACGTTCTTCTGCAGATATTCTAACAACAACAACAACCACAACAAATACATTAGTAAGAGAAGATTTTGCGTTATCATGTCCACCTAATCGTTGGGGAAATGCATGTGAAAATATTTGTAAACCATGCGGTCTCGGTGCATGTCATCCTACTACAGGCAAATGTATATGTCCAACTGATATATATGGGGAATTTTGTGATCTGTGGAAAGGTAAATGAATACATATGAAAAATTTTCAATTGAATACAAAAATATATTATTTTATTTTACTTTAGTTAATGATAAACCAAAACGTGGCGACATGATGAGTTGAACTCTCTTGTTAATGTATATATATTTTTAAAAGAGCTTATTGTTTGTGTGTATGTGAAAGAATGAATAATTATACTCACGAAAAAAAAAACATAATACCTTATGTGAACGGAAGGTATTAAACAACAACATCTTTTCAAAGCTTTAATAGAATCATTGTATTCATTCGTTTGATTGTTTCTATAATGTTATATGTATATAGATGTATTCGAAAAGAATAATACAATAGGAAATTAAAAAGATTGATTAACAAAAGATTATTGAAGTCATTAAAATCGTGTTCGATTGATACATATATACATATATGTGTGTATACGTGTATTTAAAAGTTTCATTCGGCTTCTTTGGTCATTGATACTTATTTTTAAACTAAGATAAATTTTAAATATCTATATTATTATCAATCATAAATTCAATGTTGATAGAAACATATATATCTTATCATGATTATCTAAGATAGTTTTGATAAATAAAGATTTATTTGACCAAAAAAAAATCTTGCATACAGATTACATAAAAAAATTTGTTGTTGTTGTCTTTTTAATTATTCTAACTGAATCTACTAAATCAATTAACTGAATTGCAATATAGATCTAAAAAACAGCCCGAGGGATGACCTTCCTTTTATGTAAAATGATTCGCTTGAATGAAAAATAAGTGAAAAAATGACAGAATAACTCAACAAGCAAGTCAATATTTTGATTAGTTATAAATGATGATACAAAGGAATGTATATGTTGTCATCAACTGTTTCATTTAGCATTCTGCCAAATTAATTAACGGTCCAATAACCTTGTAACCGGAAGGTTTTTTCTTACGTTTTTTTTATGTGTTTACCTGTTAACATCTACAAAACGTCTACTTTATAATAGTGATGTTTTGTATCATAACGCCAAATGTTTTGATATCGAATAGTGAAGTTTTTTTTTAATTTTTCAAATGACGAACACGAACCGGATCTTAGTTATAGGCGAAAGCCAGTATAAAGTAGAGGAAGAAATAGGTCATGGTCTTCACAGTACTGTTTATGGTGGATATGATTTAAGTGATAATAATCCGGTGGCTATTAAAGTAGTAAATTTTGCTTCTGGAATTAATGGTAGTTCATTAAGTACAGAAGCTCGACAACATTCATATTGGAAAGAAATTGAATTACTACTTTATTTACAAAATATAAATCCATATGTAATTCGTATATTTAATCATGATCAAACTGATCGCTATGGAATGATTGTTATGGAACGTGGTGGAACATTTCGTGATACTTTAATTCAATTTCTTCGTCTTGGAATGCGAATGCCATTATCATATGTTCAAAAATTTTGGTCACAAATGGTTTCAGCTATTTATTATATGCATCATGCTGGAATTGTTCATGGTGATTGTAAACCAGAGAATTTTATTCAAGTTGGTAAACATGGTGGAACATTAAGACTTATTGATATGGGTATAAGCTTTGAATTACCACCCAATGTAACTAGTCGCTTACATGCTGCTGCTGGAACACCAGGTAAATTTTTATTTTAAAAGCGAAAAATTAACTACTAGGTAAGTTAAATTACAAATGACTTCAAGATTCATTTTTTTTTGTTCAATCTATTAAAAGATTTTCAAATATTTTAGACATTTTCTATTATGAAATAGGTTTCTGAAAGTATATAGAAGCTTTTTTTTTATTTATTCAAAGAATGCTAGCTAATTGTATGTTTTATTTTGTTTTCGGAAACTAGTAGTGACTTACATAGCTCTAATTGAGACAAAAAAAAAGATATGAAGAAAATTAATTTTATTTTTATTTTTCAAATAGATTATGTAGCTCCAGAAATGGTTCATCCTAGTGGTGTTTTTACTGAACGAGCAAAATTTGGTTATAAAGCTGATGTATGGGCACTTGGCATTATTTTATTTGAAATGGTGTTTGGTTTTCGGCCTTTACAGTATCTCGGAAACAGTGAAAGAAAAATAAGCTTTTTAGGACGATTACGTCGAGATATGAATATACCATATCATCCTGATAGAGAATTACGTGATATACTCAGACGTTGTTTACGTTCAAATCATCGAAGGCGACCCGATACAGAAGAAATATTAAATCATCCATTTTTAACACGACCACGTTGATTTTAAAAAAAGAATGAGTTTCTTTTTTTTTTCTTTTTCATTATTCTTTTTTGTCATAATTTGCATCTGTTTTTCTCATCGTTTGTTTTTTGATTTATATTGTCATCATTTCGAATGCTCTATCTTCTTCATATGCTAACTAACTGACTCGTCATACATTGATATATATATATATGTAAAATATAACTAGATGTACCCTACTATGATGTAATATATATGAGGCAAGAACAGCACATCTATGAAAAAAAAAAAACTTCAATTGATAATTGCTTTGCTCCTACATTTCTTCTTTTGTTCAGTATTGCTCGATTACCCACTGTCTTTTTCTTTGTGCGCGTGCATATATACGAACGCATCGCATCACTACATCTCACCTTTTCGTTTATTTCATTGCGTATGTATCTGTATGAATGATTGACGAAGCCTTTCGTTTTTTGTCGTGTATATATGTTTAAGTGACAAAGTGACCATCGAAATATTTTTGACAAAAAAAGAAAAAGACAAATTTATCATGGGTGATATTATACTACCAGGACGTCGTCTACATTTACGACATGGATTATATACGATTGATGGCATGCTTGGTTTTGGTCTTCATTCAAAAGTTTATTCAGCACATGATGCACGTACAAAGCAATCAATTGCTTTAAAAATAATTGATTTAGAACATCAAAATGTTACTGTAAGAGCATCAACAATATCACGTCGACAAAGTTTTCAAAAAGAATTACAATATCTATTACGTTTACAAGCAATTAATCCATATATTGTTCGTATATATGATTATGATATACATAATGCCGGTGTTATTGCTATGGAACAAGGTACACCGCTTCGATATTTTTTACCAAAATATCCTAATCCACCTGTACCACATTTATCACCAGAAAGTGTACATCTATTTTGGCGTCAACTTGTTGATGGTGTAAGATTTTTACATCGTGCACGTATTGTACATTCAGATCTTAAACCAGAAAATCTTATTATCTTACCAGATGGACAAATACGTATTATTGATTTAGGTAAAAATAATTATGATAGTTTTTATTTGATTCTATTATTATCATCTATTAAATTCTAGGTATTTCTTTCACATTACCACGTATGGTAACAGCTAAAAGACGTATATGGGCTGGAACACCTGATTATAGTGCACCTGAAATGCATAAATCATCCATAGGACTTCCACCTAAATATGGTTATAAAAGTGATATATGGTCATTAGGTGTTCTTCTTCATGAAATGTCAACAGGTTTTCGACCATTAATATCATTGAATAGTAATTTTGAAAAAATTCAATATTTAAAAAATTTACATGATGATCTGCCACTGGATCTTAATGTTTCGCCAAGTGTTCATAATGCAATGAAACAGTGTTTACGACTTTCACCCAAACATCGACCAACAGCCGAAGAACTTTCTTTACATCATTATGTTGTAAATGGTTTTTAACAGAGAAAGAGAAGAAAAAAAAATAATTGTTTTCGTTTATCTTAACACTATGAAAAAGAAAGATAATGTTGATAGATGATGATAAAATCTTTAAGTAAAGTGGTGACGAATAGATCGAAAGAAATAATGATGAACAATGAAATTTGATTGTTGATGAAAGACGATAACAAAATTTCAAACTATTATAGATGAATAAATTTTAAGATATCAAATAAAGATAAAACAAATGACTGTAGAAAAGAAAGAAAAAGGTTAGAAATATCTTTTTTTTCTCATATAATTATTCGATAGTTGAATATACAAATTTATATTGTCTTCAAAATCATTCATTCATTCGTCCTTCTTATTCGGTGCATATAATATGTCATTTTAATAAGATATGCCTATTGACAAATGACTGTATAATATTTTATTTAAATATATAATGAATAAATCGCAAATCAATTCTCAATATATACATAAATTACAAGATACAATGTAATAATCTATAAATTAATATCTACTTTATTTTAGAAACAAACGAAATTCTATATGCATAATGTTCGTTAACAATTATAAATATTAGTCTTAACCATACAAAACATTTCTTTTATTGTACTTAATTGTCAAGCAGTAAATTACATATCATAAGATGTATTTATTCATTCAAACAAATATATGTCTATATTATCTTTCGATTAATCCTAGACATAAGAGAATGAAAATCGAAAAGTAAAGTAGAAAGAAAAAATGCGTAACGGTTAAAAATAGTCTTATATTCTCAATAGTAGAATATAAGAGGAAATGATGGTTAGGCAATAGTTTTGTGTATTGAACAAGACAACGTCCTATTGTATATACGAAAAAATGATTAGCGTAGCGTGAAGAAAATTTCACGCATTTTATAGACAATTATATATATGCCTGATTTTATTTTCCTGAATTATTACTTATAAGGGATTTTTAATAATAACATGTAATCAGATAAAATACAAAAAATAGTATTTTTGAAAATAAGATACGAAATGTGAACATTTATTCTATGTCATCAATTTTCTTATATCACATTTTTTGTTATTGTAAATTATACAAAGAATAAATAAATATCACCTTACAAATACACATCGATATGAAAAAGCAATTTATTCAATGATAACACTTATTCTTTTCTCTTATGTAAAATATTTCTTCAAAGTAAACTTCCTTTATAATTACTTTCTTTTATTTTTTTAAACAAAACACTTTACATATCGAAAGTGGTCAGTTATGATACATTATATCATTTATAAAAACTATACCCACATAAATTGATATTATGTCATCATCAATAGAAAAAACAACAGAAAGCTTTATGGATGATCAACAAATAATTTGGTTTAAATCAACCTTAACTAATGGGTATGTGTATCTATCTAATTTCTTTCCACATGTATCGTCTACTTCATGTCTAACATTTGATAGTATGAATTAATATCATATTAATTCTGATCATGATTTTGCCCTTATTATCAATCTCAAAAATATTATTTCTATTCACGCTTAATTAATTCCAGAAATGAGTACATAGATATATAAGTTTATCATCTTTTGACAACAAAAATATACACAAAATCTTCCATCGATGACTTATCCAAATCCGCAATTTCATTCATACAAAAAGAATCATCTTTAGCATCATACAAATATTTCTTCTTTTTTTATAGACAGACAAAAAAACTCGTGCAGCTAACCAATACACACACGCACACAAATATACATATAATTGCAAGCAATAATACAAAAGAGAACCAAAGAAGAACAAGGAAAAAATATGAACATTCATAGCAAAAAGAAAACATAAGATATTTATTCTTGTTTGTTTTTTTGTTGAATAAATCAAGTAGACACAGAAAAAATATATAAGTGGTTTTTTTTTTGGTTTTAATTTTATATAGAGCACCATTCGATAAGAAAACGCACGCACATCAAAGTTTGATTAATAGATTCAATATACAGAAAAATAAAATAAAGTATACGATTAATTCTCATATAAACAAAAAAGAGAAAAAGACGAAAAAAAAATAAACAGTTTTCATTCTAATGAAATTATTCGCTTGTGTTTTTCTTTTAAATCAAAACCGAAACAAACAAAAGAACAAAATAGCCGGTGATTACAATCGACTAGAGACATATGACAAAATGAAACAAAATATGAAATATAAGATCAACGAGTAGAATATATATTCGGGTTGATATACTTGATATCACAAGAAAAGAACGTAATTGCATATATATATTTATGTATATCCTCATACACCGCCAGTAAAATTGATATAGTTTTCTGGAATCAAACCAGTTTTACCATTAATTGTACCCATTACCTTTACAAAAAAAAAGAAATAAAATTTTAAATTATTTTAAATTTTAAATATTTACCCATCCAGGTTCTTTTGATGGGCGAACTAAAATAAGTTTAAGAGTAAATATATAAAAAATCTTTATTTCTAATTAAATTTTACCTTGAGTAACAATTTCATTTATACCGAACGATAATTCTGACTCATTATCTGCCATACATCGATATAAAGTAACACCACGAGTTTGCCTAAATACAAAATGGAATAAATCAATTTTTCTATTTCTAAAATAATAAACTAACATTTTTGATGGTATATTTGTTATTTGTGGTGTTGGTGTTGTTCTTAAAGATGAAGTTGAACTGCCAATGGGTTCAAATTTTGATGAAAGACTATGAGTTATTGATAAACGATTTGAATTCTCCAGTGACATTTGTTTTATATAGGATGAAGCGGAAGTTGAGCGTGTTTGACTAGTGAATAAATTGGAACTTTGTATTGAATGAATACCACCTGATGACGTATTACTCAATGATTCTAAACTACTACTTGAACTAGCTAAATAAAAAAGAATAATATATGTATATATCATTTCGATACTATTGAATAGAAAATGTCATTATTATATAAATTGTCCTCATCTTACATTGATCTTTAAGTGTATCAATCAAGGAGAACAAATAATTAATGACGTTAGGAAATCAAATAAACATCTATAACTATCTCATTATAACATTTGATCTGCACAGTGGTTAGTCTTTTGTTATGGTAAAAGGAAATTGTAATGATCCAATAAAAACAGTATTTTATCTTAATGAACTGATATATGGAAGTATATTTTTCCTATTTAAGCTTAAATTTAGAGAATAACTTTTAACTAGCTCAGACTCTATTACTTTAATTTCGTATTTTTTTCAAATTTTTATTAGTAACTTACAATCTTTTCTAGCAATATCTTCTGTTGCTGGTGTAAACATATTTTTATTAGCAGCACTTAAAGTATAATCTGGATTACATAAACCTCGACGACGTGCATCACCTGTTGTTTCATTATTATCATTTGTTGTTGGTGGTGCTCGTCTTGTAATGGACTAAAAAAACAATTACGTATTATATATTAGATTTATTTTTTGATCTTTTAAATATCTTACAGCTAATGATGATAAAGAATTACTGAGATTAACAACTGAATTTTCTCCATTTTCATTTGTACCAACCATAACTTCAATATCTTGTTGTTCAAGTATTGATTTAAACATTTTTTCATAGTGTATTATAATTAATTCCACAATGGCATTACGAAATTTAATATCATAAATAGATGAAACAGTTTCAACTTCTGGTCGAAGTAATGATGGACCAAAGCAAACACCTAAATTAACTGGTGTCATTAGATTTTTGTCATTATGTTTTGATACACTAGCAAAATAAAAACGACCGAATTAATTTGAAATTAAATTTAAAAAAAAGAAATATTCATACTTATTTAAATGTTTCATAATTATATGTAAAAGATCATAATTTGCCTTCGGTAATTCTTTTAATAAACTATGAAGTGTTCGAATACGTTCAGCTTTATCATCAATCACTATGAATTAATGAAAAATATTTCTATTAGAAACGCACGAAGACAAAAAAAGCTAATTATCGTTCATTACTTGCTGCTTCAATGAATCGATTATGCAATTTAAATGTAAATATAGGTTCTTTTAATGTTCTTAAATAAAGTTTTAATGCTGAACAAACTGTTTTAATTTCAATATCTTCATCAACAGGTGTTGAAATTTTTTGTTGAATTGTTTTATGTGGATCTAAATATTCATTTTTAAAATATAAATAATTCATTTTGTTTATTTTAATTACCAAAATGTGTAGCAACTACTGAATTTACTTTTGATTGCATACCAACAATACGATAAAGACCTTGTTCATGTAAACCACGACGTTCGACAATTTGTATACATTTTTTAACAAAATCAATACCAGCTTCATCTAATTCATCTAATTAAAAGAAATAATAAAATAGATTTTTTGATAAAATTCGACCAAACAAAACTTTACTTTGCATTTCAGTTTTTGATGATATTTGTGGTCGAGAAATATTTATTTGTCCTTCCATAACTGATACCCATCCTTCTAGATCTTCTTCATTCATTGATTGAAATGTAAATACAATCATTTTATCTGATGATGCACCTTTTTCAATTGCATGGATATCAAACATAAAACGTTTATCAAGTTTTTCATCAGCTGGATGAACAACACAATGACGTACAAACACATCATATGGACTTAACTAGAAAATATATATTTCAAATTAATTTTCTCATTCGTATTCATCTCTTCTTTTTTTGCATATTGACTTTTATCTCAATGATTTGTCATTGACATTATTAACAAAAAAAAAAGAAGGATATACTTATTCTGCCCGTCTTGTTACATTTATTTTATTACTTGTCAAATATACTAATGACAACATATATAATAGTAAACAAAAAAAGAAAAAGTTGCTTTTTTAGATTATTCGAACTACTTAATAGATGTTGAATATGTAGATGATTGTATATTCATATGAGATAGTATGTAGCAGGGAAAAGAATCTATATAATTTAAATAACAGAAAATCGATTATCATACGGAAAAGTTATCAATCGATATTTTGACAATGAGAAGCATAGTTATTTGCCATTTTAGTATGTATTAATGATCTCTTTTTTTTCCTTGATATAACTTTTGGTTCATTATCTGGTGAATATTAGTATAATTGAGTTTGTCTGATGATAGATAAAATTCTCTATTATCATATACAATAATGATTGATTTTTTTCTTCAAACTATGGACTATTAGAACTATTTTAGGATCTAATGAGTCTTCACTCTTACTTATATTTGTATTTTAATCTATAAAAAATATTATTTCTGAATGTATCTACTTCATTTCAATAAGTACTAATCATAAATAAAAGAGAAAATATTCTTTCACCTTTATCACACATAGCAAAAATGTTACATTTTTCGATTGACTTTAAAAAAAGAATATTTTCGACATTTACCTGTTTTGTACTAGTTTGTGTAAAATTGATCATTCTCAATAGACAAATATCTTTTCTATATTGACAATAATATTTTGTTAATGCTGTTGTACCAATAAGTTTATCTAAATAAATAATTTCAATTATGAAAATATGTGTTCGAAATTTCTTTTTTTTCGCATACTTCTTTCGATAAGAAATAAATAACCTTCACGATTATATTCTTGATTACGAAGTAAATGATCTTCTGGTCTCTATAAATACAATAAATATATATATATAAATAGAATTTATTTCTATTTTATAATATTACCATTAACATTTTCCATTTTAATTCTTCACCTTCACGTTGAAAACAATCAAAATTTTCTCGACACTAAATATAATTCATTGTTTATATTCAGATAAAAAAAGAATATTTCGTACTTTTAATACACGATGATGTAAAAATCTTATAAAATAATCAAATTCTTTATAAATTTCTTGACCTAAGAAGAAAAAAATATTTTAAAATGTAAGAAAAATATAATTTCCCTATTTAACATACCTGCATGATAGAACGATAGAAAATTAAGCATTAAAGCCAAAAGCTAGATAAATATGAGAATATATATATTTTATTTAATAATTTTTCATTTAGATTTTACTGTTTCAACAAAATCAAATTTTTTTCTTTCTTGAACTTGTTGTAATAAAAAAACATAATCCAATGTTTCTTCACGAAATTTTTTTGTTTGAACTTGAAGATTTGCATCAGCCTAAAGTTATTTCTAATATTCATGTACATATATGAATGAAAAAATGCATACTTCTTGAAATAAATCCGAACGTTTTGTTGGAATTTTCATATTATTTTCAATCATGGTACAATAACGTTGAGTAGTTTTATCAAATTCTTTTTTTTTATTCTATAAACAAAAGAAAATAATTCAAGTTAAATAGTTTTTAATCAAACAAACTTTTGCTTTTCCAATTGTTGTTTTACGAAATTCATCTAATTTTTTTAAATATGTTTCTGATGAAGCACTCTATAAAATAACTAAATATAATAACAAAATTCATTTCTTTTCTATTTAATAACTTACAAGTGCATCTCTTGCTTCTTCAATTCTATGTAGCACTTCACCCATGTATGAAAGAGATGATTCTAAAAAAAACAGCAATTTATGTGATGAGAAAAATTTAATAGGAAATTTACCAATATCTCGTTCTTCATCTGTTTGTTTACTTCCGACAACAAAAAATTTAAAACTTTTTAATGTTTCAGCAACACTTCTTGATGCTTTTGATAAAGCTATAATTTTTTGTAGAAGAAAAATTTTAGGATTATAATAAAAACTATCAATTGTTTGCACATACTTTTATTAGCAACCATAACTTCATTTAATTTTTTAATTAATGTTTTTATTGCATTGGATGTATTTTCAAGTTCATTTTCATGTTGCCGCAATTTTTCACGAAATTCAGGTGAATCTGTAAGTGCTTCTGTAAATTCAAGTGGTGGTAATTTAAGTACCATATTTGTGTTTATAATTGGATAAAGAAATTATTATTTTAAACAAAACAAATCTTTAAAATAAATGTAAAGAAAATGGTTAATAATAATAATAATAATGATGATGATAATAAAAAAAGGAAAGAGTTACAAATATGATTGTTATGTTCTTTTTCTCACGTTTCTTTATGCATACTGACATCCCGCAAAAAAAATCTTTGTGTAGGTTGCGCACATTCACTGTCTATACAATGTAGGGTTAGCAAAAGTTGAAAGGAAAAGAGAAGGAAGAATTGCTCCCTCCCTCTCTCTCTCTCTCTCTCTCTCTCTCTCTCTCTCTCTCTTCTTTTCTATATAACCCTACAACTCGTCTTTGTCTTGTAACGACTACTGCTTATATTTACGTTATCATAGGCCCCGTTTAGTTCGTCCGCCCGTTTGCAAAATGGGAAGAGAACAAATGGCACAGTAGTGGCTGCGTGTGCGTGTAGTAATTATGGACAACAAGTCGCTTGTTGCCGTCCTACAATGATCACCTCTTTCTCTTAGTTGTTTCTCAGCCCACAAAATATATACACACTAGCATCATTGCATACCGAGCTGTGCGTTTCAGATGGCATCGCATCTTAGTTATGCTTGTCTTAGGCTTACTTTAATCGACATATCATGTTGATTCCACACACACATCCGAAATGATTATTAGACGATGGTATTGCTAGCGAAAGGAAGAGCAAGCGAGCAAGAGAGAGAGAGAGCGAGAGCGAGAGAGAGAAACTTCTACTTCTATTGCTGCTGACGTCAGATATGGCCTCGGAGTGCAAGTTGGACGCGCACGATCTGTCTGCTGTTTATATCTTAGATGGCAAGGCCACCCGGACTATTAGACAAATTCTCACGACTATCATCAATTGGGATTTACATAAATAGACAACGTTCTCTCGATAAATTTGTTCTTAGCAGTAATATACAATATAGTATAATATGTAGCTAACTGAATTGTTTGCTTATCTTGACCATACATTAAATTACAATTTACGTACATACATATGCATACAAACAGATAATTTAAACTTCTTGTCTCTACATTTCTATCTCGCACTACATCTGTCGAGAATTAACTAACAATGATAATAAACTTAGTTAGATAACTGAAGTTTCGAAATTTATCTAAAATCATGTTATTATAAAACAAGATAATATATGAAAAGTGATGATAGAAATAGGTACAATACATCCTCTTTCTTTCCACATATACAAAAATATGTATGTTATCATAACGAATGGTACTGTTAGTGGCAATAGCGTCACTCATCTGCTTGTCATAGACACATAATAAAAGATTAAAAGAGAAAAAAATATAATATATCTTTTCGTGATAAAAGAAAAGAAAAACGAAAATATGATATAAAACAAGTATCGTCTTAAATACGTTAATCTAATAATCATACATATGATTTTGATTAGTATATCATTTCGATAAATAGACAAAAAGAATATATGTATTATAATAGTTAATTCTTAACAAAATTGTTTATTTCATCAAGTGAATCCATAAAAGTAAAGTAGAGTGATGATAAAAACAAAGTATAAATTAAACAAAACTAACATTCATCTCAATTGTTAAATAAAGAAAATAAAAAGAGTAAAGAATCATGTCGCGTAAGAAGGAACAAAACCAACACTTGATTACAGATGGATGATTCATTCTTCAACAATTACCATACAAAATAATATCAACCAATCATATTCATTCTTATGTCATTTAAAAAAAATTCTTAAAAATTTTTATAAATTTATACATCATTTCAAATAGAAATCTTTAGAAAAATATAAATTGTATTTAATTTTTATAGATAATATGAATGCTCATAAAACAATTAGTTTTGATTGGAGGATCAATAAACATCATTTTACCTTGCTTATTTTTTCATTTATAAACATATTCAACTGTATATTCATTTAATTTTTCCTTCATTCCATTTAATAATCATTAAAATCTATATTTTTTTTTCGTTATTTTTCTAGAGAGAAAAACTCGATCATGTCGACTCCTTCGGCTAAGGCTGTACCAACAGGTGGTAAAGCAAAAACTACCACAACAACTACCACTGTTGTTAAAACGACAACTACAAAAACGACACAACCGGCTAGCAAACTTGGTGCTGGAGCAAAAGTAACAAAAGCTAGAACAACAGCTAGTGGCAAGAAGGTAATCAATTCCCATTCAAATCGAGCATTAAATAATAATGGTCTTATGCGATTTTCACGCGGTCGAATGTTCCATCGACGTGCATTATATCGTATAAATAAATGGAAAGGTGATCAAGCTAAATTACAAGGAGATAAAACTAAAAAAACAGCTGGAAGTATTCAAAAGAAAAAACGTTCACCAGCACTTAAAAAGAAACCAGTTGGTGGTGATCGAAATGGTAAAGAACGATTTGTACGAACAAAACGACTTGTAAGTATATATAAAGATTTTTATATAAGTTTTCATATATATTTCTTTCTTTTTAGCCTCGTTTTTATCCAACTGAAGAACGACCAAAGAAATTTAGTGTTAAACGAAAAAGATTCGGTGATCATCCACGTCGTTTTCGATCAACAGTTGCACCTGGCACGGTTGTTATTCTTGTAGCTGGTAAACATGCAGGAAAAGTATGAGATATAATTTTTAATTATCTTTATTTATATTAATTCCTTTCTTTTCTTTTCTCTAATAGCGCGCTGTTGTTGTTAAACATTTATCATCTGGTCTTTTATTAGTCACCGGTAATGATATTATTACAAAGTTTGATTTTTCATCTTGTTTTTTCTCTCCTATATTTAGGTCCACATAAATTAAATGGTGTACCATTACGTCGTGTAAATCAAATCTATGTCATCGGAACAAGTACAAAACTTGATTTATCATCAGTTAAAGTCGATAATTTAGATGATAAATTCTTTAAACGCGTTCGTCAAGCTAAGAAAAATGCTGAAAAAGACATCTTTGATTCAAAGAAAGAGGTAAAATTCTTAGAAGAATCTATTGACTAATGATTATAGATAAAAGATTGATTATTCATTGTTCATATCATGTACAAAATTGAAATTTCGAGCTATGTTGAACATAGAAGTATAGATACTTCTCAATGCTTAGTCAGAGTTTGAGATTTATAAATATAGTTGATATTATTTACTTTGATAATAAATATTTTGATTTTGAAAATGATTAATATTCTATTTTCTTTTATCTTATAGAAAACACAACTTAGTGATGAACGTCGTCAAGCACAACGTACTGTTGATTCAGGCATTCTTAGTGCCATTAAAGCTAATGCCGATTCACGTATTCTTCGTAAATATCTTAAAAGTCGTTTTCAACTTTGGAACGGTGTTTTACCACATAAGTTGAGATTTTAAAAGAAAACTACAAACAAGATTATTAACAATTTAATATCAATAAGCAACAAATTCAACTATTATTACATACCAACTATTTTAATGTTATCGTTTTTGTTGTTTTTTGTTTCGATTTCATAAAGAAAAAAATTATTTTCGTTTTTCTATCCAAAGAAAATATGAAAAGAAAGAAGATAAAATAAAAAGAAAAAAAAAGCGTAAACAAAAAAAAAACATCAGACATATTTGTATACATAATATACAGACACACACTGAATTATAGAAGTACATATTATCGTTTTATCGTCTCAAATACTTTCTTTTCTTCGTTTTTCTTTTTGCGTTAACAATTTTTGTGAAAGAAACAACAATCAACATACTTTATTCATCTAATGGAACAAACACTTACAGTTATGCATTACTACTTTTTTTTCGCTTTGTTAAAAAGAATGTTAGCATAAAACACACAAGGTAAGAAAAAGAATAAGAGTAACTATACACATTCAAAAACAGATTTCAAAACATGAACACTGTACATCCATTAGTTTTTCCACCAAAATTATCTCCAATTCGACAACGTTTTACATATCATGAATTTCGGCCAATTACTTTAGTTAAATTAGAACGTGGTATACTTCATCGTTCACTTCTTTATTGTTTAGAAAAAGGTTATTTTTCTTTAATTCATTATTTACTTCAATCAGGCGCGACTGATCCACGTGAACATGATAGTGAAGGACGTACCGCATTAATGTATTGTTGTTTTATTGATAATGATTGTTGGGCAGAAAATCTTGCTATAATTTTACTTGAATATGGTGCTAAAATAGGTGATCAAGATCAACGTGGGCTTAATGCATTACATTATGCAATAACAACACAACGATTAAGTTTAGTTCAACATTATATAGATTCACTTGATTTTAATCTTAATCAAGCAATAGATAAGAATGGTAATACATGTTTACATTATGCAGCATCGACAGGTAATTTAGAAATTATTCGTCTTGTACTTAATGTAATGAAACGTTATTCAATTGATTTATCAATTAAAAATCGTTTCGGTTTAACAGCATATGATATTGCTTGTCAAACAGATAATGAACGTTGTCAAAATTTATTAAAAAATGAAATAATACATACTGAACAATCATCAACAATTGCACCACTACCAGTAAAAACAAATTTACCACCTATTAATTGTGAACCATTAACTGATCGACGTTTATCTATAACAAGTCGAATACATTCAACAACATCAAGTCGACCACGTGCATTTACACCAGCAACATATGGTGCGACATCAACTGGAACTGCACCATTATCTTTTGCAAGTGCAAAACCTACTCGGAAACTAACGAGTATGTCAAGTTTTCATAGTGGAAGTAGTGCTGGTCATTCATCAATGTTAATTGATCCAATTGAATCACATCATATTAAACTTCGACGTAATGAAAGTCTTGATTTATCACTTTTAAATCAAGCAAAAACTTTATCTAATCTTTCATTATCATCATCAACAAATCAAAACAATGGTTTGAACGCATCATCATCAACATGGCGTAATGATTTTTCAAAAATATTCGATCGTTTTCAAATAATTAAAACACCATCGTATAGAGAAACTATTCAGCCACCATTAAGTAATGAATTACCAAGTGATATCGGTCAAAATTTATATAGTGGAGGTGATGGATATAGATATGCAGCTGGTAGTAATCCATCAAGTTTATCTACTGCAGCAGATGACTCACAAAAACGACGACGAAGTGGTTTACTTAGTGCCAAAGTAGTTCAAAGATTACGAAAATAAATTTCATTTGATGAATTTTATAATTTATTTATGTCATTTCTTGCAACATATATTTTTTTACAAGACATTGAAATTTATTCAAAAGATTTTTATTTTTATTTATAATAAATTATTTTTTTTTTTTAGTTTATGTTTATATAAAGAGAAACAATGATTATTAAAAAATAAAAGAATTATTTTCGTACACTTCACCGTTTATATTGAAATCGGAACGTTTTAGTGAACTATTTAATGTCTAGTATGAAATATAGATTATCTAAATATAAGAAAATGATGAAGTCTTGTAAAGCAAAGATAAAGATTCTCGAAAGTAAGTGATTGAATGGAAAAGGATATGTGAAAGTATAACATGGGTAATGAATATGATAGCAAATTCGATGTTCATCTACAACCTATCTCATGTTGTTATTGTCGCATTGTGTTAAGTTAAAGATTACATAAAAAAATAGAGCTTTGACTAATGTTAAATGATTTTTTCAAAGAATAGTAAATAATGAAGTTATCAGAGCAAATCATTAAATGTTTGATTTTTTATTGTGTTAGTCACATCAGAATAATGAGAGAATTATCGGAAAATTCTAAAACTCAGATTTTACATGTGATAAGTAGAATTCGATAACACTAGAAAAAACCTTGGAAGAATAAGGATTTATCAATCTTTCTGTTTGCATTATGAATATCCCGCTTCTAAGAAGTCAAATCTCGAATGATTTTTTCATACACAAGTTTAAACTCTAAAAAGAACATTTACAGACTCATTTCAAATTACTCTGAACTGGATTTCATGAGTACAAACTAGTTTTGAAAGTAAAATCATATAAAAACAGATTTTATTTAATTAATGACAAACTATGAATAATTTCAAAAGTAAAGTTCATTTGTCGGTCTTAATAATGTAATAATTGCTAACGAACGAAATATAAACATATATAAGATTGGATCGAAAATAAATGCAAACATTTGTATAAAATATATCGAAGATTTTATTAATCGTTCATGTTCAATAGGTATATGTATACATATTAAAAGTATAATATTAATAAATGACCAAATAAGTATAATACATGAAGCATATTGAAATTGTTTTTGTTGATAAATTATTAGATTTTGTTTATTTTGTTCGATTTTAAATATTGTAAAATATTTTAATATTCGTCGTTTTATACATATCATTTGTCGATAATGTGATAAAATTAATAATAGAAATGGTATAATACAAGTAAATGATAAGATAAAAAACGTGTAGGATAAATGAAATGTATAATTAACAATACAAACATTTAAAAGATTATCAAATATAATAGATGCCCACTCATCACTTACACTTGGCCATGTAAGAATACATAAAGAAATAAAAATACATATAAATATCGTTATTAAACGACGATAAGTTATTATTTGCCAATATCGACTAAATACAGTACAAAAATGCCAAAAAAGACGTATACTAATAGTTAAATTGAAATGAAATAACGTTAATACATGAAGAAAAAAACTTTGTATGTAACATAGATTTGTTGAATATTGTATTATATTTGGATAAAATATTGGAAATAGATATATTCCTAAACGTAACCAATTAACCATTAATAAACATGTACATAAAAAAAGACCAAATGAACGAATCGTTCGAAATAACATTGTTTCCGATTCAAGTATGATATATGATGATAAGGAAAACGATGATATAGATGTAGAAAATATCTTGTTAGTAACAAGAGATTCTGATTGTTCAATTTGAAGAACATTTGAGCAAGATTGTTCAGTATCAAATGATTGTACATTGACTACAGAGAAAATTTAAACATTTATATATCTAATTCTTTCTTTTCTTTAAACAATAAATCTATGTCTAAATAATTTACCTGAATTAACACTTTTTGCATCTGTTTGTTTAAAATATCGATGAAATAAATGTCTTGATATATTAAAAATTTGCCAATTATTATTATTATAGATTGTTGTTAGAAAAAACATAATATGAATTAGAAGATTAACAATTAAATATAATAAAGTTGTTATCATAATTAATTTATTATCATTCATCTTTGTTTGAAATACAAACGATTGATTATTGCTTATAAAAGAGATAGAAGACATCTCGCTTTTGACCTATGTTTAATAGCCAATACCAATAACAAGTGTTCCCATATGAGTTGATATTCTTCGATGTCAGAAAAAGGACAAGAAAAGCAAGTGAGAGGGAGAGGGAGAGAGAGAGGGAAAGACAAGAGAAGCTCACAAAATGCGATTTTCTGCGTATATATGCATGTGGGCGCACATGCCATTTGTACGCCTTGATCACAGCTAGTGAGCGTAGAAAAAAAAGAGAGAGTACAAATAAAAAATTAATTTCTCTCTATGGAATCTAATCTGCGTGATGTCTCTTTTCTACTCCTTCAATATAGTCCCGTTGCTTTGGTTGTTGTTGTTCTCAATATTGATCCAAGTTGTTATTGTTGTCGACACCATCGTTACCGCCGTAGAAAAAAAACCCAAAAACTCGTTCTTGTACAAATGTTTTTATTTCTAGACATCATCACCACCATCCCACACACACCGGAAATCAACAAATTAACAAAACTGAAAATCGCCTAAAACCAATATGATGTATATAGAATATTTCTTTTTGAAAACAAAAAAGCAAAAATAGTTATATTGTCATATACAAATCTATCGTAGATTGAAATCGATTTTGTAATTAATGAAATGTATTTTCTACAATTCAATAACGTTTCTCATCAATAGTATTAAGTAATATGATATATTGACGTTTGTTTGATCGCTCTTTCCAATTTATTTATTCTTCGATAGTAGACGATAAGCTATATTCTTCTGTTTTTCTGCATATGTTTTATGTTTTTCTGATATATCTCTTATTTGTCTATGCATCGTATCAAGCTACTTAACTAAGAGTTCGTATTCTTGTATTTCTATTAATCAAATAAACTATCTCGTTGATAAATAATGATCAGTTAAAAACAAATACACATCCGATTATTTTTTTATCTGCCCGTTTTTCTCAATAACATCATTTATTAAAATAACAAAATTCAAATTTTCATATATATATAATTCATAAATATTATGCATGTATTACCTGGATGATTTACTTTATAAGAGACTTTAATATTACTATAAATAATCAGAATAGTTGATTTCGAATAACATCTGGTTGTAAATCGATCGAATGATTGATGGTATAGATTTCTTCCTATTTATTAATGCAAATTTTTTTTTTTGTTTTCCTTTAGTTTTCCTTTGGATATTATCCATATGTCATTTGAAGAAAAAGAAAATGATAGACATTTATTACAGATGATGTCACACGTACAAGAAATAATCACTTTTACATGAGAATAGAAAAAATTGTTTTGTTTTTTTGTAGTTTTTTTTTATTTTCGGGGATTTATTTGCCAAAAAACGTTGTTCATGAAATAATCAATTGTTTTTTTGTAATTATGATCGACTACGTGATCGTGATCGTGATCGTGATCTATAAAATAAATAAATAATAAATATTTATAAAGAAAAAAAAATATTTCCTTACGGAGAACGACGACGATAATTTCCGCGATCACCACCACGGTCCCCGCCGCGATCTCCACCACGACGATCATAATTATTATTTCGTCGATCAGAATAACGATCACCGCCACCACCACCTCGATCACCACCACCTCGATCACCAGCACCTCGAGTTTCTCGGCAATTACGAGAAATATGTCCAGGACGTGAACAATTATAACATGTTAAATTATTACGATTGCCGCCACGGTCGCCACCCCGGTCGCCACCGCGATCACCGCCACGGTCACCGCCACGATCGCCGCCGCGATCACCACCACGATCACCGCCACCATGCTTAAAACAAAGAAAATAATTTCTATATAGAAGAAACAAAAAAACAAGTAATTTTGTTTTTACTGATGGTGGTCCACGCCGTGTTGATCGTGCCCATTGAACTATCAATGCTTTGCCTTGATGTTCTCGACCATTTTCTCCTTTAATAGCAGCCTAGATATTAATTAAAACAAATATTCAGTTGAAAAAAATCTTTCCTTATCGATTGGTTAAATATTAAAATAAAAAAAAAGAAATATAAATTATGACTTTTCTCAAGTAACTCGACATACCTAGTTTAACAGTGTGTAAAAAGAACTCGGAAAATGGGAAAATGCACTGCTGATGTATGAAATATCACCGCCACCTTCAATTCAACTGTTACTATGAGATGTTACACGTTGTTCATCATATATAAATGAATCGAAGACGTGCGTGCGTGTGTATATATAAAAAGAAACCTTAGGGATGCATGATATAATTCTAGAAAACAAAAACGTCTTTATTAAATATAAAATTAAAACTTTATTATTACTAATTTTTGTGTTTTTCAAGTATTAATTTTTAAATGCTTACTTCGGCATCGGAATTTGATTCAAATTCAAGAAAACCATAACTTGAAGCATAACCTAGATTTTGAAACAATAAAACATATATATATATGCATCAATAAAGAATTTACCTGATGTTCCTAGCTTGAGTTCACATCTAACTACATGACCATAACTTTCAAAAATACTAATTTGAAAAAAAAACCCATTAGTAAATATATTTTTTGATTTTTTTTATAGAATAATTACTTTTCAAGTTCATGTTTTGAAATATCTCGAGCAATATTTCCAACAAATATTTCTACTTGAGGCATTGATTCAATACGTTTATTTATTTATTTATTTGCTAGATAGTCTCAAAATGAACCTTGATTACTTTTTTTCTTCTAGCTATGCATGTTTGTTTTTTATTCATACTTTTTTTTGTTATTTTTTTATTGATAATAAATAAATAACTTCACGTAAAAATTAATGTTTATTGAAATTTCAAATTTAAATAAGTTTTATTTCAGTAATATTTATTAAAAATTATTATTTTCAAAAGATGTCGTACAAAATCGAGTTACATTTTCATTCTTAAATTTTAGTCAATTCACTTTTATACATATCGTCCCGTGTTATCATTTATTTCTATTAACACATATATTTAAAACTAAATGCTCTACATAAGCCATTGTGCTAATGAATTACTTGTAGTAGATTGTACTACTGACAAGAAATGTTAGTCCTCACGGATATTGGCGCCGACATAAGTCCTTATCTAATGAAATAAATGAGCTTTTTCAAGGATCATATATAAAAAAAATCTACTTTTATTCACAAGACAAACTAATCATCTTATTTTGTTATATAAAAACAATTTGGTCATCATTGAAGTGACACTTACAGGTAACAATATATTATCATTGGCGCTAAAATACAACAATATCAATTTATTCTAAAAGATTTGCAGTTAAGTAGTTGTAAAAAGAACTGTAGTCATTCATTTCATACGTACCACCATTTATTGTTCTAGTTTATCTATTCATAATGGTACATAATTGTGCTATTATAAGTTGTCCACTTCATAATCGACGGAATATTCGTAAAGGTATTAGATGTTTTCTCGAAAATTTATTTCTTTTTGTTTTTGTCTCTGTTAACCAAGGACTTCTTTTTCATTCATTTCCTGTTGATCAACATCGATTTGAATTATGGCGACAAACAGTATTTAATCATTGTTCACAAACATTATCTATTAATAAACATTCGAAAATTTGCTATCGACATTTTCATTCAGATGATTATATTGCTAATCATACTGGTCTTACACGTTATTTAAAAGCAACTGCTATACCAACAATTTTTACCGAAATAAATTCTAATACAACTATATTTAATAATAATTTATTACAATCAACAATAGATGTTAATACGACTAGTAAAAATATTCATCAGCTAACAACATCATCAAAATCATCTTCATCAATAAATACGAATACAAAAGCAAAACGACTTTTAAATACGATCGATAAATTACATCAAATACAAAATGCAAATAAAATTATTCCAATACAAAAGATAACTATTGAGAATGAACAAATAAAACAAGATGAAGATGATGATGATAATAATAAAAATATCGAATTACAATCATCAAAAATCATTAATGATAATAATATTTCGCCTGATGATTCATTACAAATATCTCAAGTATTTACTGTTGATCATCAAAATATAACAAAAGATCAACAATCATCAATTCGTATGTTGATAATTCAAAAAAAAATTAATTGAAGATTTTCTTTTTGATTTTTAAGAGGAGAATTTTCAACATTCATCTCTGGAATCTTCTGATACATTACAATATACAAATAATCTAATGATTTCATTACCGAAAAATCATTTAGAAGATGCATTATTTAAATTTCTTGAACAAGCAAATCTTTTACAATATTACTCGGCTTTTATTGAACAAGGTTTCATAATAATATAATACATAGAATGAAAAGATATTATCTAATGTATATATTTAGGTGGTGATGATTTAAAACAATTAGCTGAAGCACAAAATGAAGATTTTCAAGAGATTATTACTCTCGTGGGAATGGTATCTAAACCATTACACATTAAACGATTTAAAAAAGCTTTAGCTGATTATCGACAATCAACGAATATTGTTGAAATTAATCCTTCACCTATAAATAATACATATTCAACAGTGTCACTTCCTCGTTCATCAACAGGAGAAATGTTAACTGATCAATATTTATTTTCATCACTTGTTCATCCAACGTCAACGAATAATTCATCGAAAATTATCAGTCAATTACCTTCGAATTGGTGTCTAAATGTTAGTTTTTTTAGTATATAAACATCGAATAGCCCAACAGTAGGTGGATTTATGATTCATTTAGAAAATAGATAGTTCTAAAAATAATAATACACATCAATTACTTGATGATAATCAACGTAAATTAATTGCTGATGAAGCAGAACGCTTAGCTAATTTATTACCAATTACAACAATCAAGAAGACAAATGGACGTAGTACTATTTCCAAAGATTTATTCGTATATTTTTTGTTTATAAAAATATACATCTATATGTATTTCTTTGTTTCTCTAGACTACAATTAATTTACCAAGAGATTTTGAAGATCGTTGGCAACGTATTCGAAAATATTCAGCAATATGTGATTATTTTCAAATAGGTTTTTATTCGTATTTTTTTTATTGAATTTAGATAATCGATTTGATTCGAAAAAGCCAAGTCAAGTGATGAGTTTACATGAAGTAAGAAACAAAAGAGATGATTTGTCTTGTTAATTTTCATATATTAAATCTAGATTTTAATCAATGAAGCTTCAGCTGCAATATGTTTTCATAGACCAGGTTTTCTTTCTTCTGAGAATTAATAAAAACTTCGTTTACTTTTTAAATTAAGAATTTTTAACTCGTCGTGATGAACTGTTACATCTTGCACGACGTATACTTCAAAATATTGGAATATCTACAGTTAATACTCAAAAAAGGTATTGCACACTTCTTTGCATATCTTCTAATAGAAAAAAGAATATTTTTTACAGACCATTAAATATGTTATCATGCGATATAACAACACCAACAAAACAAGTCAAATTAAATACACCTTCTTCCAAACCAAATGTTCGACAACGAGACTCTGATACTTTCCGATTAATGTGGCATAATCGAGAAGTATATATATATATATTTATGCTTACATGTATCGATGACAATCTTTTCTATTTAAAGGCAAAAGTTGAACAGATTCCAATTGAAATTGAAGCACTTCAATGTGAACAAAATAAATTATTACAACAACTTAAACAAAATACAATTGATCCATCATTGTCCATAGATAACAATGCATTAAAAAAACAAATTGATGAATTTAGTAAAAAAATAGAACAACTCAAGGATGAAGAAAAAAATTTACGAAGATTAATTCGTAAAAAAAATATGCGGTAAATTCTAACTTTATTTAATTACTGGCAAGAAGACATATTCTTCATAATCTTTAGTCTTCGTGCAAAAGAACGTCAACAACAGAAACAACAAATGACTATTCATCCTTCATCAAGTATTCAAGATTTAATGTTACCTATTCTACCGATGACACCATTACCTATGGAGATTAGTCAAGATCAACAAGGATCAGCATCATTGTCATTAATACAAATATCTGATGATGATAATATTCATCAATCAATAAATATTAAGAATGAAAAAATTGAGCCGTCTGTTAATTTATCTTCTCCTGTTTTAAAAGCAAGAAAAGAACTTTCAACAACACTTATACCAAAATCAATTGATAGACGACGTGAAGAAGTGAATGAAAGATCGATTATATCTAACAAGAAAACAAATACTTCAATAGACAGATTATCTCGTTCAACACAACGAGAGCCATCATTATCATCATTATCGACAACCGATATTGAATTAGCGGTTGAATCTGGTTTTCATTCGGAAACACTAACAGATATTTTACCGACTATTCATAATCAAGAAGATATTGTTGAAAGCAAAAGTTTTATTCATAATTTTGATTTTACTATTAATACTCAAATAGAAAATGAATAATTAAATTAGATAGAAACACTTTTATCTTTTGAAATTATTCTCAACAGAATAAGGAGTTTCTCATTATCTCTTGAAAACAACAGACAAATGAAATTTAATGGCTTAGCTAGGAAAATATGTATACATCCTCTTCGATAAAGCATATGTGAAAAGGTGTACGAGTAAAAGGAATTATTTTTCTAGTAGTATGCATTTATTTTAATAAGCCAGAGATTTTCTTTTTGAAACTTGTTGACTATACTCTTGATGACATCCTGGATTTAATATGATATAAAATATTTTTCAATATAATCATAAAAATAACTTATTCTAGATGAGCAGGATACTTGACACTTCTAGTCTAAATTGTATATTGTACAATTGACATTTCTTATGCCGTTGTAATTTGATCAGAAAAAGATGTGAAAAATATTTATATATCACATACCCATGTATGTCATTTAATTGTAGACTATTCAAAAATAAGAACCTTCGGTCGTATTTTTCCGACAAATAGTTGCTAGGCTTTATATTATATTTCTATATATTGTCAATCTACAGATGGCACGAGTAGGTGATGAATATTTTGTAGAAAATAATATTTACTGAATGAATCCCATGTTTCCTTCCTTCACGTCAATAGTCTACTATTTACCACGAGGAATTAAATGACGCCTGAACGAACAAAACCAACGCTATGCAAACACTCATGTTTTTTTTCTTCTGTTCTATACAATCATAGTAATTTTTGTGTTTCCATTTTTAGAACATTTGTAATCATGTCAACAAAAGCTATTTATGAAGCTACTGGTAAAAAAATCTTAAATAAATATCTTGGTTCAACGGCAGCTGAATGTCGTTGTGTTAGTGTCGATGCAGATACAAATTGGGATGAGCTTATAGCTAATAATCGTTGGTTAGAAAATGAGGTTTGTATTACAAAATGAATAGATTTTTACATTTAAAATATTTTTTATTTTTTCTTAAATAGCGTTTAGTCGTTAAACCTGATCAATTGATTAAACGACGTGGTAAACTTGGTCTTATCAAAGGCAATGTTACTATTCATGGAGCTAAAGATTTTATATTGGAAACACTTGGCAAAGAAATTTCGGTTAGCAAAAATTATTAAAAAAAAGAAATATAGATTTTGTTTTTAAAAATAATTTCGTCTATTTTAAGATTGGTCATACAACAGGAAAATTAAAACATTTCATTATCGAACCTTTTCTTGAACATAGTGGAACAGATGAAATGTATATTTGTATTTATTCAAATCGTGATGGAGAAATAATACTTTTTCATCATGAAGGTGGTATTGATATTGGTGATGTTGATTCGAAAGCATTACAATATGTAATTCATATTGATGATTCATTTGATGTCAAACAAATGGAAACAACATTATTAAAACATGTACCTACTGATCGACAAGTGTATGTAATAAAATTTAGTTTTAAATGAAATTTTAATCAAAGAAAATTTTAGACATTTATCTGCATTTATTACAAAATTATTTCAAGTTTACATGGATTTACATTTTACTTATTTAGAAATTAATCCATTAGTTGTAACAAAAAATGCTGTTCATGTACTTGATTTAGCAAGTCGTCTCGATCAAACAGCAGATTATTTATGTGCTTCAAAATGGGGTAAAATTGCATTTCCACCACCATTTGGTCGAGATGCTCTTCCTGAAGTAAATTATAAATGTTTATTAATAATTCAAATCTTTATATATATATTTTTAGGAAGCTTATATTGCTGAACTCGATGCAAAATCTGGTGCATCATTAAAATTAACTGTTCTCAATCCAAAAGGTCGTATATGGACTATGGTAGCTGGTGGTGGTGCATCAGTTATTTATAGGTTGGTTGAATTTATCCTATTTAATTCACAGTGACATTGATTTAAATTTGTAGTGACACCATTTGTGATATGGGTTTTGCATCTGAATTAGCTAATTATGGTGAATATTCTGGCGCACCAAGCGAACAACAAACATATGAATATGCAAAAACAGTCTTGTCATTAATTGTTAAAGAAAAACATCCAGATGGAAAAACTTTAATTATCGGTGGTGGTATCGCTAATTTTACAAATGTAGCAGCAACATTCAAGGTTATTTATAATTAATTTTTTTTACTTTTTGAAACATCGAAATATGTTTTATTTTTAGGGTATTGTAAAAGCATTACGAGAATATTGTGGTCAGTTAATCGAACATAAAGTATCAGTTTTTGTACGTCGTGCTGGTCCAAATTATCAAGAAGGATTACGTGTTATGCGTGAAGTTGGAGCATCATTAGGTATTCCTATACATGTATTCGGACCTGAAACGCATATGACAGCTATTGTTGGCATGGCACTTGGTATAATTTTTTCATATTAATTTATCTTACTTTCATTTCGTTTATTTATTTAGGAAAACGTCCTATTGCTCCACCAGAACAAGAAGAATTAACAACAGCAAATTTTTTGCTTCCAACTAGTGCCAATGTAAGAAAATAGAATAAAATTATAATCATTTTTTCATCGTTTTGTATTGTTTCGTATGGTATTGTTTATAAGTTCATTATTCATAGACATCGTCAAGCAATATAAACACAGTGAGAATGAGAGACTTTAAAAAAAAACGATAATATTGGTGACTGGGAGATATAATTGCTTAGATTTGCTTCTCTGCTTATTGTCATTGAATATTCATATCTTTTGTCTAGCAACCTAAACCAAATACTGATGAACAACGCAAAACTCTTAGTAATTCAATTAGTCTTGATCGTCAGCCATCATTAGTACGTATTATTTATTCGATTTTATATGTTACATGTTTTGTTTTTTTATTATAAAATAATTTAATTAAATATTATTTGTTTTGTTTTATAGAAAAGCGAAGATTCAGGTGCATCTGCTAATTCATCAAATACAACAACAACAAAAGTTACTGATGATATGAAAAAATGTAGTTTGAATCGACCACTTTTTTCAAATACAACAAAATCTATTGTTTGGGGCATGCAAACAAAAGTAGATTATTTCTAAACTAAAACAAACACTATTGGTAATTTTATTTTTATTTTGATTTAGGCCGTTCAAGGTATGCTTGATTTTGATCATGTATGTCGTCGAGCACAACCATCAGTTGTTGCTATGATCTATCCATTTACTGGCGATCATAAACAAAAATTTTACTGGGGTCATGAAGAAATTCTTTTACCATGCTATAAAAATATGGCTGATTGTATGAAACGACATCCAGATGCTGATGTACTTATTAATTTTGCATCCTTACGTTCAGCATATGATAGTACAATTGAAACATTAAGATATCCACAAGTAAAAATTAATTAATCAATATAAATATGAGTAGAAAAAAGAAATTTCTATTTTTATTATATAGATTCGAACAATTGCAATTATTGCTGAAGGTATTCCAGAACAATTAACTCGACGTATGTTACGATTAGCAAATAAACAAGGTGTTTTTCTTATTGGACCAGCAACTGTATGTTAAAAATTTATTATATCTAAATATTTATCTTTTTTTTTATCTAGGTTGGTGGTTTAAAAGCTGGTTGTTTCAAAATTGGACATACTGGTGGTATGCTTGATAATATTCTTATGTCAAAACTTTATCGACCTGGAAGGTAATTAGGAATAATGATTTATTATGACAAAAAAATAGATCATTATTTATTTCAGTGTTGCATATGTTTCTCGTTCTGGTGGCATGTCAAATGAATTGAATAATATCGTATGTCGTAATTCAGATGGTGTTTATGAAGGCATTGCTATTGGTGGAGATCGGTAATGTAAAATAAGATCAATTATTTTTTAATATAAAGCGTTTTTTTTAGTTATCCTGGTACAACATTTACAGATCATATTTATCGTTATGAAAGTGATCCAGAAGCTAAAATAATTGTTCTTCTTGGTGAAGTATGTTATCAATTTATTTTTTAAATACATAATTATAATAATTCTAAATAGGTTGGTGGTATTGAAGAATATCATATATGTGAGGCTATTAAATCTAAACGTATTACAAAACCATTGATTGCTTGGTGTATTGGTACATGTTCATCAATGTTTACATCTGAAGTTCAATTTGGTCATGCGGGTTCACATGCTGATAGTGATCATGAAACAGCAATAGCAAAAAATAAAGCATTACGAGAAGCTGGTGCTTATGTACCGAATAGTTTCGATGAACTTGGCGATTTAATTCAGTAAGAAACTAAATCAAATCAAATTTTATAGATTAATTTATATGAAATTTCATTAGTTTGGTATTTCAAGATCTCGTACGATCTGGTCAATTAGAACCAAAACCAGATGTATTACCACCATCAGTACCAATGGATTATGATTGGGCTCGAGTATGATAGAATATATCTATATATTGCTTTTTTAAATTCTATTTAAACTAATTTCTTAGGAACTTGGTTTAATACGTAAACCAGCTAGTTTTATGACAAGTATTGTTGATGATCGTGGTCAAGAGCTATTATATGCTGGTATGCCAATAACAGATGTAATTAAAGAAGATATGGGTATTGGCGGTGTACTTAGTTTACTTTGGTTTCGAAAGCGGTTCGTTTTCTTTTTTAGTTAATTTAATAAATATTGTTTTTTCTTTGTAGATTACCAAAATATGCAACAGAATTTCTTGAAATGACACTTATGGTAACTGCTGATCACGGGCCAGCAGTTAGTGGTGCACATAATACAATTGTATGTGCACGTGCTGGTAAAGATCTTGTTTCATGTTTAGCTTCTGGTTTATTAACAATTGTAAATATCGAATAAAATTTGAAATTTCTCTCTTGTTCTACGAGAATGTATTTAGGGTGATCGATTTGGTGGTGCACTTGATAATGCTGCTAAACAATTTAGTGAAGCATTTGATACTGGTTTACATCCAGCTGATTTTGTTAATAAAATGCGTAAAGATGGACAACTTATTATGGGTATTGGACATCGAGTTAAATCGGTATTAAAATTTTTTGTTAAAATAAGAATACTATTTATTATGATTTATATTTAGTTAAATAATCCAGATATGCGTGTTGTTCTTCTTAAAAAATTTGCCAAAGAACATTTTCCAGCTACACCATTACTTGATTATGCACTTGAAGTCGAAAAAATTACTGTCAGCAAGGTAAGATTTCACTTCAATATAATTTCCTATGGGATTAACATATGAAGTATGATAGACTAAATTTAGACCTGATAGAGTAAAACATGAATATCTAAAATTAGAATACAGTTTTAAGGCTTAAATTTGAATTTAATAAATTCTTGAAAGAATGCACCGTGTAAAATGATGTCGTTTCTTGTTTTTTTTTAGAAACCAAATTTAATATTAAATGTTGATGGTTGTATTGGTGTATCTATGGTTGATCTTTTACGTAATTGTGGTTGTTTCACACTTGAAGAAGCATCAGAATTCATTGAAAATGGCGCACTTAATGGACTCTTTGTTCTTGGTCGAAGTATGGGATTTATTGGTGAGTATTTTATTATATATAAAATATATTTGAAGAATTTACTTTCATATATATATTATTAGGTCATTTTCTTGATCAAAAACGTCTTCGACAAGGTCTTTATCGTCATCCATGGGATGATATATCGTATGTTTTACCAGAAGCAATGTAAACTTCTTCATAAATCAATGACGATAATCCGGAGTTATTTAATGTTGTCTTTGTAAGATGTTTAGTGATATTCCTTTTTAAAATTTTATGTCAATCTACATATCTATTCTTTTTTTAACTACACAAGAAAAACATAAAATTTTTCTCCTATGTCATTATTGGTATTTTGTTAGTTGTTCCTCATTGCTGCTTATTATTTACTTTTCCACTCTTAGCATATCCACTTATTGTCTTTCGATTATAACAGTACTATATCATGATCATTCTCATACATATCATATCTGGTATAATATCGTATATTTTTATTCATTCTAGTTTATTCAAATTGACTGTGTTGTTCATGACTTTTATTGTATTTTGTCTTCCTTTATCTCTTTATTTACAGTATAATAAAAAATTCTAAAAAATTCAAAGAAAATTAAAATTTATTTATATATTCCATTCACATTGAAACAAACTGATATAATTCTTACGTAAATATTTTGTATTTATTCATTACAAAAAAAAATATATAAAACGGATATAAAATAATAAATATGTAACTATACATTTGTTTTTAGCCTACTTCAGATGTATACTAGAATAAAAAGATAGACTATCAATCATTTAACATTCTACATTGCTTTAGATAATTTTTAAAGTTCCATTTTTTCATTTTTCATTTCTTCATTGCCTGCAATTGTATCTTGATTTGAATCAAGTTTTTCAATTGGATTTTGTTTGTCATCATTATTTTTACTTTCGTCAATTTCTTTTGTTGCACGTAATTCTTTTTCATAGCGAATTAATTGTAAAAAGAAAGATAAATTGGGTGCAGCAACACGACGTCGTTCAAGTAGATATTCATAAGCTTTACCCAAAGAATCATGATGATATCTTAATTTAGAAAAACAAAACGATAAATAAATAATAGATAAAATATAATTCTTTTACTTCATTAAATAAGCAAGTACAACCGATGATGAACGTGATATACCCATTTGACAATTAACTAAAACTTTCTCATTTTTTTGTTTACAATCATATAAAAATTTATTTGTTTCTTCAAAATATTTTTTTATATCTGCCTTAAATTCATCGTTTAAATTAATCCATAAAACATTAAAATTTTCTAAGATTTCTTGGTCTAATTGACAATCACATACATCGATTATATGTTGAATATTTAATTCTCTTAATAATTTCATATTTGATGCATGACCTAAATCACCATGATAGAGAAAATCATCAATAACTACGGACGGAAGACCATACGTATGTTTATCACTTGACATAGATGCACGTTTTTTTACTCGAATATTTAATAATTCATTGAGATATGTAATTTCTTCATCTGTTGCATTGAATGAATCTCTTAAATAACTTTCCATAACACCAACAGATTGCTGGAACATTATTAATAGTATATAGATATTGAAAAGACTAGATGTATGATTGCAATTTTTCTTTTATATAAAGTCTTTTAAAATATCTAAAATTGAGTGTAAGATCTTATAAATTTTATTTTAAAGAAAATCATCACAGAAAAAAAGAGAAGATTCATGCATATGTTATACAAACAAGTATATGTTTAAGTCAAGTTGTACATAAAAATAGAAGCATTATAAAAAGTATCAAGCTAAAATCCATTAAATTTTAAATTTTAGCTATCATAAGTGAATGCCAGACTATAAAAATGAACGAACTTGAAAAATAATAAACAAAAACATATTCCTGTATGAGTATGACATCATGAATATATTGTATTGAATTGATAGATTAGCTGCTTAAAGGATTGTACAAGATGAACCCTTGTCAGTTTCGGTCACTGTTTGAACATCACGACCTTGAGCAGCATTATCGACTTCTTCCGCAACCTTGTCAAAGGCAGGAAATTTGCCGGTATCAAGTTTTGAGAAGATGACTTTGTTGTTAAGAGTCACTTCAAACGAGCCTAAAACAAGATTAACAGCATACATTATATATCTATATACGTATATATACTTACTGCGGCGTCCAACTTTACCAGTCACGGTAGCATCCGACACACGTTGTAAAATTTCTTTACGCAGTGCGTCGTACCGTGACTCGTAACCTCACATACCACAATATTCAACATGAACAACGGCTGGTTTACCCATTGTTATTGTTTTGTTCGAAATAATATAAATATACGTAAATAGAAAATATCTACAAAAAACACCCACGTATAGAAAAAAGTATGACTTGTGTCGTGATCAATATCCTTACCTATACTGCACTTATTCTTAACGACGTATGAGGTAGAAAAGGCAAACAAGAACGTATATATACAAGTGTGTCATTTCTATAGAACCAATCAGGAAAAGTTGTTTTGCTAGATGGCACGTATAGACAGAAACTATAATATTGTCAACTAAATGAAAGTAATGAATACATGTCTAATCGTACAAACGATATATGAAGTTGTTTTTTTAAATCAGTGTCATATTATTTTTAATTTTTAAATTATTATATTTCCTAAGAAATAAATTGAAAAACGAAACCTACTATAGTAAATTAATATTGCTTATGTGACATTTTTGCAATAAATGAATTTAATACTAATTCTGATAATACATACATGGATGACATATATGATTTGTATTAGTAATCGATGACAGATTTATTTGATTAGTTGAACTATTTTAGTAATATGAACTTATTAACGACAGGGTGTCTACTAATGAACACTAGTAAATATTTACAACTAATGACAAAAACAAAAGACGTTAGATGTAATTTTTTCAATATTTATCTGGGGAATTTTGGTAATCGAAGTTCATTACTAATTGTTGATGGGTTTATTTGTCGTTGAGGTCGACCGTAACGAACGATATGACAGACTGTTTTCTTCCAAACTTTTAAGAAACGTCGATCAATAAACATAAAAATAAGTGGACCACATAAAGTACATGTTATACTTCCAAAACGTGTATAAGTACTTGGATAATTATCTGTAATTAAATGTGAGACGATCGCATTTGGTGCCCATAATACTAACCAAACAATATAAAGAACAAAAAATTGAACAAGTAATTGTGAATGTTTATTATGCTAAACAATGAAAAAAAAAATTGTATTTATCTAAAAGATTTGTTTCATTTGTGTACCTGTGCTCGAACAGCTTGTCGTGATTGACGTACATGAATTGTTGTTAATGTCATAAAATAACAATTTAAAATAATTGGAATTAAAAGAACAATAAATAAATTTCCTATTTGAGTTCTTATGTTAAAATATTGAAAATGACAATTCGAAGTATGTGGATGTCGATGCAATACTAATGTTCGAAATAATTTCACTTGAAATAATAATAAACTCATTCCAAAAAGATATAGAAATATATTGAAAAGAACAAGAATATAAGGATATCGTGCAGCTATATCAAAGTTTTTAACAATTAAATAATATCGAGTGATATTCAAACATACTAGCATATATGCCTCAAGTACAGTTATATATGCAGTTGTATATGCTTCCAAAACACAAAATGTATTAAATATTGAATATGATATACAGTATGGTAATGAAGTACGAAGTATATATTCAAGAAAAAATTGAATAAGTAGAAGCATATCAGTAAATAAATAATTGTAAACCCAAAGCATTGAAAGTTGACGAAGTGATCGATGTGTAGCTACTTGTACCCAGAATAGTACGTGGAATATAAGAGCAGGTATAGCAAGACTAAGATAAGCTCGTCCAATGTTGCGGGATTCTAGTGTCCATGTCATATTATAACATCTGTACGACATTTTGCAGATGAAAAAGATATGAAACCGATGATGTACTTTTTCTTCTAGACAAGATCTATTTGTTGATAGTAATTGATCTTTGATCTATTAAATTGTACTGAAGAGAGTTTATGCAAGAGATATTGGTTTTCAAGGCATTAATAGCAAATAATGACATAGGAGAAAATTAGTTGATCTATTTGAACTAGGTAAAATAAACTGATTAAATCAAAATTAATTATGCACGTATTTAATATCAGATATTGAAATTATTTTGTTATGCATTATGGCGTAGTAAAGAAAATTTGATTCCATTATTACATTGCAGAGATTCATGTCATAATACTAAAACTTTTATTTTTCATTCTCTCTATCTTGGCACGTTATTTTGTTTATAGCAAACTTGTTATAGTACATTTCTATTCTTAGTTTCATTATATATAACTACGAAATAAATCTCTATCGAGACTATTTAAAATGAAAGTTTATTGGAAATATAGACATGCCATCTCTGGTTTATCATCAGTAATTAAAATTAAAAAAAAGAATATCTTTATTAAAAATCAACTCAATGGTGTTAGTTTACATCCTAATAAACCATTTCCGAACCATTGTTTAGGTATTAATGTTACAGTTTGTTGTTCATTTGTGTTAGCACGTTGAACAAGTAATGTAATTGAACGATTTTCACTATTGTTTACAAGTGATGCAACATCTTGCATTGTACGAAAATTATCTTTACGAATCGTACCAATACGACAAACAAGATCACCTACATGAAGACCAGCTGTTTCGGCAGGTGAATGATTACTAACAATATCAACACGTAAAAATGGTTCTTTATTTGGCAAATTAGTATTGCTCGGAGCAGTTGTTGTTGCTGATACAGTAGTATTCGAAGGATTGTTAGCATTATTTTCATGTATTTGTATGAGACCATCTTCAATTTGTTTCATTAATGCTTTATGATCATTTTGTAAACAGATTACACGTTGTCGTATATGACGTACTCGAACAAGATCAATGTCATTTCTTCAAAAACAAAACAAAAAAGAAAAGTTTCACATAAAAATAATTAATTCTCTTTACCTTGGATAACCTTCTTTATCGACAAGTGCCTCTGTCATTCCAACATTATTTTGTGTTTTCAATTCATCTGCTAATTCATTTAATTCTTTTTCAATATCATCTTTTTGTTTCACCAATTCAAGTAATTCTTCTCGATTCATATTAATCTAAAAGAGAGAGACAAAAGTATGCGATATAAAAAACAATATCGTTTAATAAGAACAATGGATCTATGGATCTAGTGTGTGACAAATAGAAAAATAAATAAGATATCTTGATCAGCATTCAGTTTAGTTTTGTTTATGATTTTGTAGATGCCCATATGAACAGCGTTTAGTTAGAAGCAGTTGAAACATAAACTAGACTTTTTAAAACTTTTTTCGATGAAATTACGTTCTATTTGATAAGTTATTGAACCAATTTTCTTGTTTAGTTTGTTTCTATTGAAGATAATTTCTTGATGTTAAATGTAATAATCAATTAAATACATTTTTTGAAATTACGATATTCTATTCTATTCACTGTTATGTCTATTGGAATCTTTCAGTTCGTCTTTTTTTTCAGCCAATCAAATCAATGATTTATTAATTCATTTGATTGGTTGTCTATTTTAAACAATACGATTTCATTCTCTTTTGTCGAAATAATAGTATGTAGTAGCAATAATGAAAACCACAATTTCTCGTTTTGCAAGGATTATTTTAACTGGGCGTCGATATTCATCATTTTATACTCCGTTATTATCAGGACGAAATGACCAACAATATTCAAATAAAGTTAATTCATCTATACCATTTGCTTTACTTTTTGCAACAAGTTCATTAAGTTTTTATGAAATTTATAAACATTATCGTCTATATGCTTTATCAACTGATGAATCAATTCCATCAACACCAAAAGGTCCATTAATAGTCGATACTCAAAAACCATTAGTTGAAAAAGTTCCATATTCAAAACAATATAATTTTATAGCTGATGTTGTTGAACATGTTGCACCAGCAGTTGTTCATATTGAAGTTGATCTAGAGATATCACCTTTCTATGGAAATTTTAGTGGTTCATATGGTACAACAAATGGTTCAGGTTTTATTATAAGTGAAACAGGACTTATATTAACAAATGCACATGTTGTACGTAATAAAAAAAATGTTAAAATAAAATTAGCTGATGGACAACGTTTTACTGGAACTGTTCAAGATGGTAGGAAATGAAAAGAGGTCTTTTTTTCTTAAAACATACAAATTTTAATTCATTTTTTTTTGTTTTCTTCTAGTTGATATGGTTGCTGATTTAGCTGTTGTACAAATTGATTCTAATCAACACAAATTACCTTATTTAACATTAGGTGATTCAGAGAAAATACGTGCTGGTGAACATTGTATTGCTGTTGGAAGTCCATTAGCATTATCAAATACAGTTACAGCTGGTATTGTTTCAAATATAGGTCGAACAAGTAGTGAATTAGGTTTATCAGGACGTAATATAAATTATATTCAAACTGATTGTATGATAACAGGTGGAAATAGTGGTGGTCCACTTGTTAATCTTGATGGACAAGTTATTGGAATTAATTCAATGAAAGCAATGACTGGAATATCATTTTCTTTACCAATTAATTATGCAAAATTATTTTTAGCTGATATTGAAAAGAAAAAATTAAAACAATCTTTATCAACAACAACTACAAATCGTCCACAAAGACGTTATTTAGGTATTAAAATGTTTTCATTAACACCACAAATCGTTGAAGAAATGCGTTTTCGTATGCCAATGATGTTATCAATCAATAAAGGTGTTTATGTTGCTAATGTAATACCAAAATCCACAGCACAACGTGCTGGTCTTCAATCAGGTGATATTATTATTCAAGTTAATGGTCAAGATATTGAAACAAGTGCTGATCTTATTAAATATGTTCAAGAAAATGACACATTAAATTTAAAAATTATACGAAATAATGGAATTGTATTTAATATTTTAGTAACACCAGAATCCATCGAATAAATATAAATAAAATCTTTTTATTTTTAGATGAAACAATAATTTAGATTTTATTTTACAAAAAAAGAAAATAAATATGCAAACATTGAGATTCTCATATTGGGTTCGACGATCATATGCAAATCTACACATAAATCGATTTATGTAAGTTTTATTTACAATTTATTTTGTCCTATTCAGAATTTCATAAAATCTCTTAAGATCAAACAATACACAATCAAAGAAAGACATAGTCGAACAAGTTCGTCCAACATCTGAAGAAGCTATAATTCCACGTAAAGATCGTCCACGTCTAGAAGAAGAAGGTTTAGAATATGAATATAAAGATGAATTAGATGTTTTACGTCGTAAAGAACGTTTAACCGTTGATTCAACTAATCCACAATATATGACAGTTGTATTTAATGGAGAATTTGATCGTGATATATTAACATATCCAGAATTATTAAGTAAAGCTGAATCAACTCAAATGAATACATTATGTGAAGGTTTAAAAAAATTTACGGATTCAATTGATCGAAAACAAATTGAAAGAAATAATCATATTGATAAAGATATTTATACAGAAATGTCAAAATTAAAATTACATGGTTTAATTATCCCTGAAGAATTTGGTATGAATTAATATATACATATATTTGATTTAAATTTTTATTAAATTCTTTTTCTTAGGTGGTCTCAGTTTAAATAGTCAATTGTCTGTACGAATGTTTGAAGAATTAGCTGTTAGTCCAACTATTACAACTCAATTATTAGCACATACTGAATATGGAGTTAGAAGTAAGGTTTTTTTGTTTTTATATTACATATTTATTTATATTATTAATGATTAATTCAAGGTTTACTTGTCTATGGTACGGATGAACAACAACGTTATTATCTACCTGAAATGGCAAAAGGTAATATGATATCAACAGCTTGTATAACAGAAGCACATTGTGGTAGTGATATACGAAATATAGAAACAACAGCTACTGTTAGTGATACAGATCCAAACAGCTATACTATTAATGGAAAAAAGATGTGGGTTACAAATGGAGATAATGCTGATGTATTTCTTGTCTATTGTAAAACGAAAGAACGTCATACATCAGAAGATTATGATGATCGATTTTCATTTTTTCTTGTTCATCGTGATATGCCTGGCGTTACTATATCACCACCAGTATCAACACTTGGTTTACGTGGTCTTGGTTTAACACATGTTGAATTTAAAGATGTTAAAGTTAATACTGTACATCATTTAATAGGACAACTTGGAGAAGGATTAAATGTTCTAAGAAATTTACATGGTTATGTACGAACAACACTTGCAGGTTAGTAAATATATATCTAAAAGTAATTCCAAGAGATTAGAAAATTCTTTAATATACTTACGACTGTATGGGAGCACCCTCTTTTCTTCACGTTGTATTTTATTCGAATGAAGAACAGAAAAGAGAAAGAGATAATTTATACTAAAAATTTTAGGTATGTGTACTGGTGTTAGTAAACGTTTATTACAATTAGCTTCTGAACGAGCAATTCAACGTGAATCTTTTAGTCGTAAATTAATGGATCAAGGTTTAATTCAAAAACGTCTATTTCATATGGAAATTGATACATATACAATGGAATCAATGACATATTTAACAAGTGGTATACTTGATTCATTTTCTATGCCAGTTATATCAATTGAATCAGCGTTAACAAAAATATTTGCTACAGATCGTTTATATCGTATAGCGAATGATTGTCTTGAAATATTTGGAGTTGAAGGTATTGAAATTGGTCATCCAGTTGAACAATATTTACGTGATATACGTCCATGGTCAATGTTTGATGTACCAAATGATGTTTTACGTTTATTAACAGCATGGGAAGGTATTATGAGTGTTAGTACAGTTGTTCATGATTTTGTAAGAAAAATTCGAAATCCAATTCATTTTCCTGGAACAAAATTACGACATTTATTAACTAGTTGGACATCTCAAGCACAAGCAATGCGTGCACCATTTACATTTAAACATGATTTATGGGAAAAAGTAAAAAAAAACATAAAATTTTGTTCTTATTTTAAAAACTTATTTTTAGGTTCATCCATCATTAGGAATCCCAGCAAAAGATCTTGAATATGCTATATTTGTTTTACGAAATGTAACTAAAGAAACATTAACAAAATCTGGTCGTGATATAATGGATAATCAATTATATTTAAGACGTTTATCTGAAATAGTTATAGAAATCTATGCTATGACAGCTATGTTAGGTCGTTCATCACGTGCATATTCAATTGGTTTGAAAAATTGTGAACATGAAACTGAAATGACATTTCTATTTTGTAAACATGCACGTTTGAGAATTGATAAATTAGCTAAAGAAATAAATGAACATGGATATCAAACTGGTGATGAACATTTACAACATTTAGCTAAACGAGTAAGAAATTATAATAATAAAAAAAGTGAATATTAATTTTATCTATTTTCTAGATGCTCATAGCGAAAGGTTATCCAATAACAACACCACTTGAACGAACATATTAAATTTATATATACATATTGTTTTTGCTATTGATAGGAAATTGATAAGTTTGGTTTTTTTAGTCTATTTTAGTTTTTCAGATTAATTGATTTATTTCATTGAAATTTTATATTATGGGTCGTCTTACTCCTGAAGTAATTGAAGCAGCTGCGCAGTATCTTAATCCTGTAGGTCAATATGAATTAAGTTTACGAGGTTAATTATAAAAACATTATTTTTGTTGTTATAATTTAATTAATATCATAAATATTTAGATTTAAAGATTCCAGTTATTGAAAATTTAGGTGCTACTTTAAATCAATTTGATACAATCGATTTTACAAATAATGATCTACGTAAACTTGATGGTTTTCCATTTTTACCAAAATTAAAAACACTCTATCTTGCTAATAATCGTATAGCGTAAGAAAAGTTTTAGTTTTTCATTTATTCAAAATAAATAGTAATTCTATTTATTCTAGACGTATTGCTGACAATCTACAAGAATATATACCAAATTTAGATACATTAATGCTTAATAATAATACATTGCAAGAATTATCTGATATTGATCAATTATCAACAATACCAAAATTGGCTCATGTTAGGTAAAATTCACAATTAAAAAAAAATTTTATTCTATGTTTTATTTTGTTTTGATAGTTTTGCTCGAAATCCGATTGCTATGCTTAAAGATTATCGTCTATATGTTATTCATCTGTTACCTAACTTACGAACACTTGATTATAATCGAATAACTCAAAAAGTATTTATTATTTTTTTTTCTTCATTTCTATTTCTCTCGCTCTTTTAGGAACGTGAAGCTGCTAGTAAACTTTATAAAACGAAATCAGGTGATAAAGCAAATAAGAAAAAGAAAGGAACTAATACATTTGTACCTGGTGGAGACTTAATTAAACAGCAACAACAACAACAACAAGCACCTCGAATGACGAAAAAAGATGCCGATACTATTAAGGTCCTTATTTTTTTTTTTTTTGAATCTTAAAATCATGTTTACGAAATTTTTAGAAAGCTATTTTGGAAGCTAAATCATTCGAAGAAGTTGAAAGATTAAATGCATTATTACAAGCTGGTCAAATGCCTAATTCTAATGAACAACATCAAAATGGTCATAAACCAAACAATACACCTATGGAACAAGAACAACATCCAGGTAATTAAGAGATTTTAAAATGAATTTCTATCTATTTATTATTTTATTCTAGGAAATAATATGATGGAAATATGAGTATGATAGTTATCTACGAACTCCTTTTTTAAATATCGTTATTGTTTTGTTCGTTTTTTGTTGTTCTTCTTTTGTATACATGCCCGATGAGAGCAAAGAAATTTCATTGTTCATTTTTTTTCAGATAGCAAATAAAAGAACACTTGTGACTATTGATATCAGTATCATACTAAAATCAAATTTGTATAGTATAGATTAAATAAATTTGCTTTAAAAAGATAAATACAATTTTTGACGAATGATATTAATGTAGTCTTAAATTAATAAACCCCCCTCCATAATAAAAGACCCCCTGGTCTACTATTGCATTTTGCGGATCAAACTTTTAAAGGGGTCTTCTATTATGGGGTGGTCTTCTAATACGAATTTGTGAGCGTAAACTGCCAAAAATCAATATTACAATTTGTGAAGTTTCAGACAATATCGTTCGTCATAATTATATTATTTAATAAATATGAAATAAAAATCAGAGTGGAAGTTAATATGAAATTTTGAAAAGTTAAAATGATTACAACCGTAGTTATAACTTTCAACCTTGGTTATAACATTTAATCGTGGTTAATATAAGTTATTATCACAGTTCTGTTAATTAGATAGAATTTCTCTCTCTTTATCCTTAGTGAGTAACTGAACTGAAGCTACTGTTTGACAGATAGTTCTTAATTAAAAATTGAACTTCATTTCAGAAGATAATACGAATTTTTTAGAAGGTAATGATAAAATGGTATGAACTATATTGTAAAATACGGTTTCGGTTCATTTACTCACTAAGATTAAAGAGATAGAAATTCTACCCAGTCGACAGATTTGAAATAATAACTTACATTAACCACGGTTAAATGTTATAACCACAGTTTAAAGTTATAACCAAAATCGCTTTTGGACCGAAAAGTTGGTTATTTATAATTCAAAAGTTGTAACTCAAGTCATAACTCATCCCTTTTTAACTCCGACTCAGATAAAAATAGAAAAAAAAATAACTGCAAATATTTTTTGTTCACAAATTGATGCAAATTGAGTTGTTTCAATTTTTATTACTCCTTATGTTAAATTGGACGGGTGTATTCACATATGATTTTCTGCATCTTCGTTCTGATTGTCCTCGTATTTTTAATTTTAGTCGATTTGTGTCTATTTTCACATGAAGAAAACATATTGTAGATGTGCATAAACGAGCTATTACTATATTTTCAATTCTTTTCTATCGTTCGTTGCACAACACACACAATAATATGGAGAATTTAATGGAAAAAAATAATATCTTAAAAATTATTTTTTAATTTGAAGACCCGGGTCTTCTATTATGGATTTCACGTTATTTTTGCAAGAGGGTCTTCTATTATGGATTTCACGTTATTTTTGCAAGAGGGTCTTCTATTATGGGAGGGTCTTTTATTACGAGAGGGTCTTTTATTATGGAGGGGGGTTTAGAAAATTTTCGATCTTTACATTTTATTTGATATAAGACAAAATTTTTATTTTTTCCTCATAGAAGAAATACACAAAATTATACATCTATTATATACATTTTATTACAGCATCTCGCTAATTATAAAATAAAATTGAAAAATGATAGATTTTAACATGTAAATATAGAAAAATGTCTTGAGTGTAAGAATATATCATAGTTTAAGATGCAGTTGTAGATGTAGTTGTAGATGTAGTTAAATCAGCTGACGTTTGCCGTACAGATAGACTAGCAACAGCTGCTTCGTAAGCTTCATCGAGATCAGCATGAAATAATGGCCGATCAATATCAAGTATTGGTATTAATACTGGATTCGTACCTGATGCATTATTATTTGACTGCATATTTTCAAGTATCATAGTATTTTCTTCACGGGTGTTCTCATGATCAACGTCGTTAGGTGCTTGTGTTACCGAGAAAACTGTTCGACCTTGATCTGATGATCCAAATCCAGCTGAAATAAGTGCACGTTTTATCCATACATTAGATAAACCAACGAAATGCCAACTAACTTTCCAATCAGCATAAACATCTAATTGTCGACGAACATCAACAAGATTTTGTAAACCTGTTATATCCAAATGTGGAACACCAGTAAAATCTAAAATAAGTGCATGTAATCGAGGACGATTATCATCTAAATGATTATCTTTTTCTGGATGACGACTAGTTTGTAAATTCCATGGTTGTTGTCCAAGATTAGTATAAGGACTAGCATTTCCAGCTCTAGTTTCACTAAATATTTGATTAACCATTTTTTCAGTATAATGAGCAGCATTTGGATATAGAAAACCTTCATGTATACGATAGATAAATATTCCATTTCCAGGTGAAATTGGAATAACTCTTGGATTTGTACCATCTGAACGATCAAGTGGAACATAAATATTTCGTATAGCTGAACGAATTTGATTGTCAGCTGTTAATATAATTTGATGAATTTGTACACGACCAACAAATTGTCCACGTGCTTTAGCAATACGATAAAGTAAAAGTGCACCTGATGAAGCAATACTAACATAAATACCATCTTCAATATTGGAAAATATTGTCACAATAACAGCAGCCCAAAAAATTAAAAATTCTATAGGACTAACTTGCCAAAATTGTTTTAATGTACTTGGTTCAATAATCAAATCTCCAACAGCATGAATAATAACTGCAGCTAAACTAGCTTGTGAAACCCAATAGAATACTGGTGTTAAAGCATAAATAGCAAGAATAATAACCATACCACTAAAAAGACCAGCTAATGGTGTTCGAACACCAGCTTTTGATTTAATTGCTGTCCGAGAAAATGAACCAGTTGCTGGATAAGCACCAAAAAAAGGACCAAACATATTTGTTACACCAATAGCAATCATTTCTTGATTAGGATCAACAATATAATTATTGATTCGACCAAATGATTTTGCAATAGCAATATGTTCTATAAGTAGAACAATAACAGTCGATGGCAAATATTCTAATAATGCTGAAGCTAGTTTTTTATCAATATGTGGTACACCCATATTTTGAAAACCTCTTGGAACAGCTCCAAGAAGAGATGTACGTGGTTTAGATTTATGTTCACGATTAATTAAGAATGAAATTAATAAATAGAGAAGAATAACAAAAGCAGTGCGAAGTGTATTAATAAAGAAAAACATTTTTGCACGAGTTGGATAACGTTGAGCTGCTCGTGTACAAACAAAACGAACAAAATAAAGAAGAAATAATGCTGTTAAACCAAGTGCAGCATTTAAATTACAATATTTAATATATTTCCAAAAATTAATAAATACAAGATAAGTTGATTGACGTGTATCAAATAATTTATTATTACCCATCAATGTTGGAATTTGTCCCATAGCTATATTTAATGCTGAACCTGTCATAAATGCAGCTAGTGATGGTAATGGAATAAAATCAACAATAAAACCAAGTCGAAGTATTCCCAATAAACAAACAACACATCCAGATAGAACAGCAAGAGCAGAAGCGATTACATGTAATTCTAATTCAGGATACATTTTATGAATATCATCAAGAACAGTTCCTGTTAATGCTGATAAAACAGCAACAGGTCCAATGCTAACATCCTATTAGAAGAAATAATAATATTAAAAATTATATTCTTATTTATTTGTACTTACTTTACTCGTTGCAAAAAACCAATATATCATTACACCAACAAATGAACTATATAAACCAAATTGTGGTGCTAATTTAGCTAATCCTGCATAAGCCATACTTTGTGGTATGACAATAGCACCTACTGTTAGACCGGCAATAAGATCACCCCAAAACCAAGTTAAATTATATCGATAAATCCAAGTTAAAAAAGGAAAAAATGAAATAAAATAATTTTTAATCTTGGGTTTTGGATTTCTTATCTTTGTTCTCAACCAATTTTCCACTGTTGGACGTGATTCACGATATTCTTGTTGTGCAAGAGGATTCGGAATGTTAAGCATTGTTGATTGATATGATGGTGAAGGTAAATAAGTACCTTCAATTTCAGGAGCTTTCGTCATTGATCTGTTATTTTGTTCTATAATTGAATTAATATATATAAGACAAAAGATGCACCTTGCTGTTCGTATAAATAATAAAGAAATAGAACTAGAACATAACTGGTTCTTTCACATAAATACATATATATACGACGAAATATATCGATAAATGATGCGTTTCTGTCATTTTTACACCAATAAAGTATAACATTTCGATATTTTCTTTTCTTCCTAAGGGCAAATTTTTCATACGAATTCAATGAAAGAAACACTAGTTAAAGTTCTTTTATTTTTGTCTTTCTCAGCTAGGTGTTCTTGATCAATTACACTTGCACATATTTATTTCGATTGAATAGATTGCCTTTAGGTGTATTGTTCTATTATAATAAAAATTGATAGTTATATCATGATCTTAATCTTGTAATGAAAATAAGTAATTTGCAAAGGATACATCGTTCTTAAACATTCTAAGAATATAAAGGTGTGGGTATGCTTGAACTAAAGCATATAATGTGGATATATATATATTAAATTAATAGGTCATTTCTTTTCTGATTGTCTGATAGCAGTTAAAAACTATCTATATTTACAAAAATAAAAATAAAAAAAAAGAACGACGAAGAAGATGATGATTGTACAATCACATGAGAACACACTGACATTTTCAACGATAAAAAATATTGTAAGATGTACGATGTTTTTTTCAAAACTCATAATTTACTAATACTTTTCACAATGCTGCTACCGTACTATTTAAATCAAAAATAAATATCTGTTTTGTCTTTTGTGTACATTGTTTGACAGAGTAAGAATCATTAATCTTGAATTACTATTTATATATTCCTTCAATTATTTCAGATTACCATCGGCTATCCAAAAATTTAGAAACTAGTCGGATATCAATCGATTATTAATCCATCAAAATCACATGAAAATATTCATATAAATAGATATATGTGTATGTGATAGACATGACGCATTATGTGATATCCAGTCTTCAACTTCTGTTCGATAATTACCATACTCTATGATAGATGATATTTTCTAACAACTGTTCTCTCTATAGATCTGTATTAATGATGTGATACTTCGAAGATAAAGACGAGAAAACAAGTATATTATTAATGTCATTTACAGAAATACATACGATGATGAAGGTATGTTTCAAATATCTTATCGTTTTTGATGTTTTTTATCTCTTATTTATGAATGCAGTGGATATTCCTCCTTCTTGCTTGTGTGACGTTCAATAGTATTGAAGCATCAAATTCTGATGAATTTCGACGTGCGTATATTTCCTATTAATAGCTAATCTTATTAATTATATTATATTTCTAGTTGAACCAAACGAAGCTTTACAATTTCTTTATCGTGCACGACGTAGTTTTCTTCATCCCGGAAAAACAAAATGTGAAGAACAAAAACGAGAAGCTCGTAAAGCTTATGAAGAAAAATGTACAGTATTAGGCAAACGATTTTGTCCAAAATTAGATAACTGGAAAACTTTTCAACAATGGGAAATTGGTGGTGGTTATGATAATAAAAGAAATCCATTACCAACAGAAACAACAACAACACCACGAATACAAACAATGCGTACACATCGAACACGTCTCCATTCACCAGCAACATTACCTACATATAGAACACCATTGCCCGGACATAGAACAATGCGTCCAACTCATCGTGAATCTGATGATCGAAATGAAATCGTAACACATAATCCATTTGATTAATAGAGTTTTTATACTTAACATTTTATAGTTAGTAACAATTACAAATAATCACGCTTTTCCCGTCTTATTGAATCACTCAGTTTTTATTGCATTTGAATTATTAAAATATTCTAACTTCGAAGAAACAATAAAATATTTCCTTACACATTTACCTGATATTTTTGAGTTTCTCAATATATATATATATACATCGGACTTTAACCTTCCTGTATTATGTAGTCCAAATTAGCGACTACATGGGGACTATTGTGTACTGAAATATGGGATAAATTACAATAACCTTCTTACCCTATATTGTTTGACTTAATATTCAAATAGTGATCAAAATACTATGATGCATGAAAATGTTATATTGTAAAAGTGAATAAAAATTATAAGTTACGATGATAATAATGAAGAGGAGAGTATGGGAACATAATTACTGTATTGATTAATAAAAAACGAAAAGGTGAGAACAGTAAGAAAAGGTAAATAAAGCAGCAGCCCACACAGACATGTACATATATATCAATGAACCGTGACCATGAAGTAAGTGAAAACATCGCAAAGATAGAATGATATATAATATATGCATAAATTTAGCATTTTTCAGGGACATCCGATGATTGTAACAATACTTATTATTGTGCTCAAAAGAAGGTCATTTAGCAAATATCTGTAAATAGAAATAAATAAAATTATTAAATTTATACTTCATTCAAATATGAATTAACTAATACTTGATATTTAAATAAACTGTTAGCTATAACGTCGTAAACTTTGTTCAGATCAATATGAAGAAAATGACTGGCATGCCTTGTGTATCAGCATCAATGTATCATTATTCTTAACTGAACAATTAAAACTACAATGAATATAAATTAATTGTTTACTGTTATTGATTATGTCATTCGAATGATTTTTTTGACGAAATACGTACTAATAGGAAAGTCGTGGTTTCTCTTAGTTGACATTCAAAATTCTGTTGAATTCAAAGTATATTGAATTCGTAGATTAGATCAATCAACTATAAGATCCTTTTCTAGGTGACATCTCGTTTGTAAATTCCATGGTTGATAAGCAACATTTAAGAGGAAGTAAGTTGACTTCTGTTATACCGAAATGTAAAAACATAGAGAACTACAAAGAAGTATGAGGAGATGTATATATACATTGAATGATTTGCAAAAATCAATTATTTAACAAATATATATTTTTATTCAATAATAACATTCAAGCCGATTGCTCATGAATATATCTATAAGTTCCAAGTGAATAAATTTGATTTCGAATCCACTCATCTGACAAAGTTTTGTACGAAGTTTGGTAATAGAATTGTTAACTAGTGATTTTTTATAGAGTATATATGAATGTAATGTAATATTACTAGACACACTGTATTTAGATCTGTTCTTTATATTTGAGAAATATTTCTTAATAGTCAATGATAGATGTCTGGTTTATTTCATATATAAGCAGATACAGCTGCTAATGCATTTTCATTGACACTAACATATATGAAATATGTTTTTATCTTTTTTTTTATTTTGTCTCCAGATGTGATGAAAATAAATATATCAATATTTAAATGATTTAATAGTATTAAAGGTAAAATACAACTATAATACTGTTTTTATTCTTTTGACTACTACTACGGAAACAACATCATATAAAAAAATAAATCTTTATTTATTATATCTTTGATGATGATGACGAAGCATCTCCTGCCAAATGTTGTCGATGTAATTCTTCACACTTCGATTTTAATTTAGCAAATTCATTTTGTATTACATCAGTGACAGCTTTACGTATTTCTTGCTAAAATATAAGAAAGAAAGAAAAAAGTCAATCTCATCAATCATCTAAATTAAATTATTAATTAATATATACCAATGATCGATTTTCTTTTTTCATTTTGTTTACAAGATCATCGAAGATAAGCGGTTCACCAATGTAGATGCTTACTTTTTGTCCCATTTTAGGACGATAAGGTTCAACATTAGGTAATACAGAATCCATTCCTAAAATTTAAAAACAAACAATTATAGTTCTATTTTAAATATTATTTATACCAAGATGATAGAATGGAACAACTAATGGACATATATTGGCTTCAGCAATAAGTCGACCAACACCTAAAATAATCATAATTGTTTTTTAATTTTACTGTATTGAAGATATTCTTTAGTTGAAATTTTACCCCATTTAAGTCTTATTAACTCTTTTGTCATATTTATTTTTCCTAAATAAATAAATAAACTTTGAATAAACCATATAGATATATAAAAGATACATACCTTCAGGAAATATATGTACCCAATCACCTTTATTTATTTTTTCTAATGCAAAATCCATTGACCGTTGATAAACACCATCACCGCGTTTTATTGGTATTGTTTTACCCAAACTAAAGAAAATTTGATGTTTTCTTACTGTAAATACAATATCATCAGCGCCCAATGCCCAACGCATTCGTTGACGATTCCAAAGAACTCGATATGGCATAGTAGCTCCTAAAAATAATCGATAATTATTGGAGGATTAATAGAAAAACAAAAAAAAAGAATAATAATAGGTAAGGATACAGCGAAGGAAAAAAAGCTACCATTTATATACCGATCAACGTTGGTTCATCCAAACCTATTGATAAAGATATTTCATTAATAATAATATATTTATTTCAAGAAAAAAAGTATTTTTTACAAGAAAAATGATTCGTTGCCGTAACCAATGCTCGTTTTGGATCACGATGAAGAACAGCATTGAGTAGAGTGTCACCTTTCCATAAGATAGAATTCAGCCAAATAAAAGTATATTAAGAAAATCCTACCGTTTGCAATTCGTACTGAAGTAAAATATTCTATAAATAGAAATAACTTATTTTTCGCGTTTCTTTATTTGATGACTTCTCACTTACTCATCCAAATCCTACTAATTGTGCCGACAAGTCCGATCGTCACTGTCGATAGTGCATTATAAGATCTAGTTGGTCTTTCCGGAAACGGCCAATCAAATGATAATGGCATGATCTAAAAGAGTACTACATATGCTTCTGTTTTTTATCATTTTATATATTTTCTGCTTAAAAATTTGTATAGCATCATTTTTCTTTACTGTTTGCACAACAAAATGTATTATATTTAATAATAGGAAAAAAAAAAGAATCAAAACAATAAAAAGAAATGTGTTAAAACATCACTACATCGAAAACAAAAGCAAAAGAAAAAGAACAAAAGCATAGGAATGTAACGACACATATCCATTATATTTGATTTTTGCTACTCCTCCATCTCTTATCCCTGTTGAAAGACGCACCAAATTACTCTAAAAACTAGTTTTCTAATATAAGTCTATTGATTATCAGCTTTGCGTTTCATTTAAAGATCTTTTTCACCCGTAACAGCTTCTTTAACTTTTTCTGCAGTATCAACAACTGTATCTTTAGCTGCATCAAGTGTATCAGTTACAGATTCTTTGAGTGATTTAAATGATAAAAGAATATTTGAACGATGTTGTAATTCTTCTTTTTTTGTATCAGTAATCTAAAGAAAAAGAAATTTAATTATAACAAAAGTTCAACATGAAGATATTTAAGTTACTAATAAAACAAAAAAATCTCGTTATTCAATCTATCCTAATCACTAAATGTTAGTCTTGTCGATATATACTTACAAAAATAGATCAAATAATGACATGATTTTTTTTAAATATTAGTATAGCTGTTATCATAATTACCTTTCCTTTAAGTAAATTTTGTACACGTCGTCCTTCACGTTTAAGAAAATCTACACCTTGTTTAGCAACTGCTTCCATAATTTTTATATAAGATTCACCACTAGAATAAAATAAAAAAGTTTTTTTAATGAAAAATATCCTTTTTTTTATTACCTTTTTTGCTCTTTTTTATCAACGAAACCTTTAACTTGTTCTCGTGCTTTTTCAAGTAATGTTTTTTGATTTGTTTCATCACCGGCTGATGATATATCAAAATATTCTCGTGCTAAACGATCTAATGCTTCAAGTGTACCTGGTAAACCAAACCAAAGATCTAAAAATGGTTTGGTTCTTTAAATATCATATTAAATTTAATATAGTTTTTGTTTTACTTGTATGTTGTGAAAGAAATTGTTTAAGACCATCTTCAGTTTTATCACCTGTATGATCAATTGGTTTAGATTTTCCTTTAAGAAATAATTTATAGGCAGGAAAATCAGCCTTGGTTACTTTATATTCAGCTCCTAATTGTTCATTTTCTTTTTCACCATAATCTGTTATTGGAATTTCAACTAAAAGAAGATTTTTTGTATTAGCTGCACTTTCAGCGAATTTTTTAAATTGATCTTGATTGTCACCATAAGCTAAAAAAAACAGATCAATAAAAAAATTGTATAAAATCAAAGAAAATAGTATACATACGATATTTATCGTCGAATTTAGCTAAGACGACATCGAAATTTCGAACAACTTTATCAAATGTTAAGCTATCAACAGTTACTGTTCCTGGTGTATGAGCTTTGATTGATAAAATTAATGCAAAGAAAAGAGTTGCAGAAAATATAACGAAGAATTTCATTGTTAAATCAAAAATGAGCAAGGAAAAAACAATGTAATCTGCAATTTAAGTTTGATATGAATGAAAGGGTACCTAGAATGAATAAAGGAGAAGTACACGAGTAAATTACTTGTTTTTAGTAGGACGGAGAATAAAGGTAACCAATAGGAGACTGACGCGCTCGGTTTTCTCATCGATAGTAGTGACCTCAGACACCTTCTTTTTTTAATTTAGAAAGTTCTAGAATGAATAAAGGACGTATGCATATCCTTTTTAATAATGTACTCCTTCTCACTGAAATATGAATACGAAAGTGCGCGATTAGGGTTGGTGGAATACAAGAAAAAATAAAAAACTGTATTAATAAAATGCGAAATTATATTACTTTTATTGAATTGAAAGAAACAAAAAAAGAAGATAATTTGAGTATCTAAATGAACACATTCGCTGGAATAATATATAAAAGAAATAACGAACAAAACGATACAAAAAAGAACAATACCAACATTAATATTAATTGAGAGAAGTGATATACAACATATTAATAAATGAACAGAAAATAATGTCTTCTGTTGTCTAACGATCTAATAAAGAAGAAATCAGACTTTGATACAAAAAATTAAGAACTAAGTGAGATAATATCAGTTTTTCTTATTTTATAAATCTAATTTCTTCTTAGCATCTTTATAAAGTTCTTCTGCTTTTTCTTTGCCAGCTTCATAAACTTGTCCGGCATATTGTCCAGTTTTTTCGTATGCATCTTTGCTATATTCTTGACCAACTTCAACGGCTTTAGCTGCAAATTCTTTTCCAGCTAAAACAAACAAAGATGATCTGTGAAATCGTTTCTTTCGAATTAAATCTACAAACCTTCAATAACTACTGGAATTTTTTCTTGTAATACTTCGCCGGCATGAATAGCATATTCACCTGAAGCTTTATAAGCTTCAGAAGCAAATTCTTTTGCACCTAGTAATTGAGAGAACATATTTCGTTGATTCCAATATTTATTCTTATAATAGCTTACTTTTGATTGTTTCAGCAGCAACTTCTTCAATTTTTTCTCTAGCTACTTCACTGAAAACTTTGCCTTGTTTAAGAGCTTCGTCAGCATATTCACTAAATAAACATAATAAGACAAAAATAATTTAGTTGTTAAATGATAAACAATAAAATAATAAAACTTACGAAGCATATTTTCCAACAACGTCAGCACCATGTGCTAAATATTCACTACCAGCTTCGGCAGCTTCAACTGCTTTCTCGCTGAATACTCCAGCATATTCTGAACCGACTTTGGCTGCTTCACCTGCTTTTTCCTTAAGAACTTCAGCATATTCGGAACCAACTTTAGCTGCTTCAGCTGCTTTTTCTTTAAGGATATCAGATGCTTCGTGATATTTTTCCTAATTAAAATTCTAATTAACAAAATTTAAATGTAGTTTATAGAACATACTTTGACAATTTCAGCACCTAAAAAAGAAAAATTAAATTAAATTTTATTGAAAACAATTGTTGTTGTTTTTTCTACCTGCAGCAGCCGTTGGAGCAACATATTCATTATATACTTCTTGGGTCTTGTGTGCACCAGCAGCAGCTGCTTCTTTTACTGTATTTAATGCATCAGCAGCAGCGGGTACAACCTATACAAAATACAATAAATTCATTAAATAACAAACAAAACTCTCTTTATCTTACATATTCATTAAAGACTTCTTGTGTTTTTTGTGCACCGGTAGCTGCAAATTCTTTGGTTGCTTTAGCAGCATCGGCTGCCATGTGTGCACCATCTGATGCTAACTTAGCTCCAGTTTTAGCAGCTTCAGCCGCTGCTTCTTGACCAACTTTAGCTGCTGTTGAAGCGGCATCAGCTACATATTCACCTATGCAGAAAAAAAAGATATTAATTTAAAAATGTCTTCTGACATGAAAATGAATTGATTAATCTTAATAACTACTAATCATTCGTTAACAATCACACTATTTATGAGATTAGTCTTAACTTAGAAACGTTTAAATAAAATCTTTTGTTTAACTCTAGTTTCACAAAAACAACAATATTTAACTAACCAGCGGTGTTAGCAGCATCTGCTGCAACTTTCGCACCATCCGACGCATATTTTGCACCTTCTGATGCTAATTTAGCTCCAGTTTTAGCAGCCTCAGCAGCTGTTTCTTGACCAGCTTTGGCTGCTTTTGAAGCAGCATCTCCTACAACTTTTGCACCTTCTGAAGCTACTTTGGCTCCAGTTTTAGCAGCATCCTTTGCCATTTTTGTACCTTCTGAAGCTAATTTAGCTCCAGTTTTAGCTGCCTGAGCAGCTGCCTCTTGACCAGCCTTAGCTGCTGTTGAAGCAGTATCAGCTACATGTTCTCCTGTACGAAAAAAAGATATTAATTTAAAACTGTCTTCCTACACGAAAAATGAATTGATTAATCTTAATGGCTAAAAAAAGTTCATTCTACTCAAAATATGTATGAGGTTAATCTTAGTTTAGCAAAATTCAAATAAAATTCTTTGGTTAACTTTAATTTTATAGCAATCATTATGTAACTAACCTGCAGTTTTAGCAGCGCCTGCAACGACTTTTGCACCATCTGAAGCATATTTTGCACCTTCTGTTGCTAACTTGGCTCCAGTCTTAGCAGC